GAATTTGACTTATTCAGAATGACTAATTTATGCAGGTACTATTAACAATTTTAGCAACATTGGGATGTGTTCGACACAGTAAACAGCTCGATACAAGCCAATTTAGTGGAACTTAGTGATAATGTCAACACAAACCAATCGCTTTAAATAACTGGTCAGCTTAGTAATTTCCTGCTAAAGTTGATCATATTTAAACCGGCAAATTCAATAGCCCTTTTGATTAATTTATTTCACTTATTAGACAGGTACAGATACTCTAGATGACGGCTAATGATAAACTACCCGGTTATCTAAGCCAAAGAGGAGTGAGGTTCAAACCTGCGATTTAATAGTTGAAAGTCAAATCCCTTAACTACTGACTCACCGTTTTACAAGCAGAAATTGATACACAGCTGGATATTCAAATTAATTTTAAAAAAAGAATTCGTATCTCTGTAACAAACTGATGAATTGATTAGCGGATTGAAGTGTTGTTTTGTAAAATATTAAAAAGCGATCGGGATTTTATTGTCTTCTTATTTATCGAACTAATTATTCATCCAGTTTATATTTGAAAAAAAAAAACAGTGAAACTAACAATTGGAACAAGTATTTATTTATATAATTGTTTACAGGTTACAAGGCACATTGATGATTAACAATGCTACTAATAGTAATAATACTAATATTCATAACAATAAAGGCAGTAATAATAATTGTAATGATAACTATTAATGATTGGAATTAACAAGGCGGAGAACAAAAACATAGAGTGAATTTAAAAATGGACAGACATACATCACATACTTGACAAAACAAAAATTGGGAAAAAAAAAGAATTTTTTTTTAGAGAAAAATAGACATAATTGGGTATGAATTATAAATTAGTCACTAAATCTAGATGTAATTGTCTACAGTAAAATCAGAAAGTAGACAAGTTAAATAGAACAGTAATCAAAACAATTAATGTTAATTGATGAACTCTACCTACGAATGTATATGAATTGTATTTTTCAGGTATTTGAGTAAGGGGAATACAGATTGAGAGACCTGTTGATTGTACTAAATTTATTTCAAGGTAAACAATAGCCTTATTGTAAGTATCAATATTCACATGGCTAAAGAAGCATTGATAAATTATTCTTTGATTTTCTTACAAGAAAAAAGAGTTGTGGGCATGCAGTATTTATATATGTTTAAGAAAGAAGATGTTTTATGTACAGTAAAATCAATTAAATGTTAATCAGCGTTATGCATAACAACGATGGATAGTCAGTCATCCACATTTCATCAACACTATAAATCTATATATAGTGAACTTGGTGGGATTAAACTGAATAAAGAAAATTACGCACAATTCATAGACATAAACTAGGATAAACAAAGAGTGGGAGTAAAGAAACATCGAAAAATTGATGGATGTTTTTTCTGCAGTAAAAAATAATTTGACAGTCTTTTAGTCAACAATGCATTTTGTGTATTCCCTCTTTTTTGATTTGTTTGCTCGCAGTTAAAGACATGTGTTTGTATTTCTCAGTAAAAACATTATCAATGTCGAAAGGACAAATAAACAATAATTGATAATTAACGAATGAACAAAACAAAACGAAACTCAAGCGAACAAACATAAAATCACATGCAATTTGTTTTTTTTTTTGGAAGTTAGCTAAATTCAACTGTTGTATAAAGAAGAGAAAAAGGGAAAAAAAGCGATAAACAGTTAACATTAGTCAGTACTTAAAATGAATATTATATTACTATTAAGCAATAATAATAGTAATGATGTTATTATGTTAACAAATTGTTTATAACGATAAAATGTGCACAAATTTGTGATGGAACTGATTATTTGCTCTACCGGACTTAGAGCTGAAATCATTTATCCGAGGTAATGCAAGGTATCAAATGTACGAAAATTTGATTTGTCAAAAAAAACTCAAGCATATCGGGACAAACAATGACATTCAAGAACAGCATAATGGTCAATCGAACTGATTATTTAGCATATACAGTCTTTATAAAAAGAAAGGTGTAACAACTGCTACATGGGATATAATATTTAGGTTATCTTAATAGTTCAATTACCCTCTTACTTATTCAGAAACACATTTATTTACAAATTTGAATAATCTATAAAGTTGAATAAGAACTAATTTTGTGAAACTGAAACTTTTAATAAAACAAAAGAGGGAAAATATGTTGGATACTTAGAGAGTATTGAGAGTTTGATGGAATTAAACATTCTTATGGTGTAAGGGTGACAGAATTTCTAGCAATCCAATTTAATTAACCTTATTTATTATTCACTAACTGGAAATTCGATTATTCAAATGAAAGTTGCACAATTATAACAAGCTCTAGGCTTTATACGTAGTCCACCATGCACAACAACAGGTTCTTAACCTTTCAGGATGAAAAAGATTCGAGTCAAAAAATTTTTTAATGGTGTTGGGATATTCAGGAAAATATCCCAAAAATTATCCTGTTAAGCCTAATGCTATCCTTGGACATGGAATGGTATCATCTTATTGGTCAATATTTGTTTAACGTGTCATTTTCCTACTGGCCATTATTGTACAATGTTATTTTCTATTTTATTGTACGTTGTGGTCTGCTTGACTGGTATATAAACAAAGTATGTTTGAAATATAATGATTCATAAATCCGAGGCTGAGACTTGTGTTCTGGACTCAATTGACTGGGCTAGACAGAGAAGCGAGACCAATCAGAACCCTAGGTCGTTCTACGTGTTTGCGCGTCTTTGGTCCGATCAATAATTCGCTACCCCTTAATCAGCAGCAAATATTTTCCACAGTTATAACATGGTATTAGAGAGTAAATTGAACGGTAATTTACTTTAATGTCGACTTAATACAAGTAGTAATTATTACATCGAAACTGTAATGTTATTTTGGACCAAGATTTATTGGTTTCCACTCGAAATATATGACCCTTTACTTTTACTATCGCTGAGAGGACGTACAACATTCATCTATACTTCTATTAAAATCATTATTATACTGATGTAACCGTAAGTTTTATATTACATAATTATGTAGTCTTAAAAATAGGCAGCCAAAGAATAGAGGCGATAAATGATAATTTTTGAATGTGTACACCAAGAGACAAAAATAAAACACTAACAATAAAGATTAATGTCAACACCAAAAAAATTAAGTGTTAATGAAACCGATGAAAAAACGTTATCGATGATTGCACAAATATAAATTTGAGTAATTCATGATAACTATGGAAGTATACAATGTGTGGACAACATAATACACACAACAATAATGTAATATTCACAATACTATTGATGTATATACAATCTAAAAGTAAGCTAATCAGATATGATCAACATATGAATTCAAACAATCACAGTAACTATTTCCAATATATGGTATTTCACTTAATCTATAGTTAAGACAGATTTATGCTTATTATTATTCTATTAAAATACCAGCATTATTATGTAAGAGTGACAAATTTAAACAATATCTATTGAAATAGTTCAAATAACTATAGACAGTATTAGAAATAAGAAGAACAGAAAGAAAAACAAACGTAATTACTTTTAAAGATCAAGAATAAAGAAATTGTCAATGATTGTAAATGAGAAGATTTAATTGATTTAAAAACTAGAAAATGAACTTTAAAAGAAAAATTACAAAAAGAAAAACAAAACAAAATCATATTGTTTTGTAACTAACATAACATATAGATAATGAATGTTATGTAAACAACTTATTAATTAGGCTACAATTATTTACATAGTTGTACTTTATATAATTCACTTTATCATTATTTCAATACAGATATAAACAAATACAAAATTAAGCTGTATATTCCACTTAATGATTTTTAAAGAAAAAAAGAAAAAAAAATTAACCAACTATGTTACACATAGCATGTATCATTACTAAGGTTTGACTTGATAATTTCAAATAAATTCAGCACTGGGTAAATTGTTATAAATAAAAATAATATACTGATTGAAATCATGAGTCAATTGAAGTTAGACGTTAACACCGTTGGATGCCGGATCAGTGGTCTAGAGTTCTAGTGAAAAGCCGTTACCAGTGAAGTTCAACCAGGTCTGTTGTGAGATATCTGCTCACTGAAGACAATGGTGTACGGTGGCGCAACTTCGTGGGTTGGTTGTAGTTAGACATTAACACCGTTGGATGCCGGCTCAGTGGTCTAGTTGGTTGAGCGCCTGGCGCGAGACTGATAGGTCTTGAGTTCGAATCTCGCGGGCTGCGGGATCGTGGATGCGCACTACTGGAGTCCCATACTAGGACGAAATGGCTGTCCAGTGCTTTCAGGTTTTCCATGGTGGTCTAGCTTCAATTGACTCATGATTTTAATCAGTGAAAATTTCTAAAATCTCCACAAAACCCCTTCTGATAATAAAAATAATATAGTTGTATTATCCAAACGAGTGGAAAAATTAGATTTTCTAACGTTTAGTGGTTCAGTGTGAACTATTTCTTCAGAGAATAAATGGTCAAATTAAAATTAACCTAAGTTTTAAAATTGGGTCACGTATTGGCGAGTTTGAAACTTACTTGTTAATATTAGATATGAATGACATTAATATCGTTTATCCAAAATACCCTTACTGCATAATTAATGGTATACAGTATGGGTATTAATAATTAGATGAGTGAAAAATCTATTTAGTTACATAAATCGTGTACAGAAAGAAAAATAAGCAGAGTATCTGGAACAATTGTCATTGATGAACACCAAGCAATAGGAGATCACGTCGATTGATCAATAGTACAAATACTTCTATAGAGATAAATAAATTATTACCTGCTGTGATTTATCAATGTCACATTCATCTTTGCTTTAAATATCATTTGTATATAATATATTTGCCAATGTTCAATAAATAATAAGTCAAAGAAATCCATAAACAAATATATATATATATATATATATATATATATATATATATATATATATATATATATATATATATATAAGATTAGAAAGTCTTAACTAAAATTTACCAGGATTTTCTCTAGACACCACCACGCCATCATCATCTTTGTACGTTGAGGCATTCAAGAGTGACTTGAAATGAATAAGAAAAACAAAGAGATTTGAATTTTAAAATCAGGATATAAACAACTTTAACAAAGGGTAATATACAAGTCACAGATAATTATTCTGCACAATTCATTCTAATTAAAATTATATCAGTTAAATATAGGTCAATTTAAAAGTTTAATGATAAAAGACGATATCTAACGCTAATATACGTAATGAAGTTAATATGATAGAGATAAACGGTATAAACTTTTTTTTCTCTGAATGAGAATATATACAATAAGAAGGAAACAGGTAACGAGAGAAATTGACTGAATGCCAATAATAATGATGATAATAATATTTGAAAGTGGAGAGAATTACATCCATCACTAAATGTATTCTTAAAAACACAATGGTGAGTTTCTTACGTAAACAACACTCTTATTTCAAAACATTATAAATACCAAGGCTAATGTGATATATTATGATTGCTAAATGTAGTTCAAGTAAATAGTGTATAAGAAACCAATTCATCAAATTCTTTATATATTCAATTTTGGATAACAAAAGTTGTATGTACCTAGACTAGGCTATCTAAACTAGATTAGATGAAGTCAATTTCGAATAAATGATTTTATAATAGTTGACATTATAGACAGTTCTAGCAATAAGGTCATCAACTACACAGTCACAAAAACAGTACGATAATACCATATTATTTAACACGATCAAGTGATATTAGTGAATATATGACAAAAATGGGAATCACAAAACAGTTCAACTATTTAACTTAGTAGTAACCATGTACAACTTTTGTAGAACTTGAGGTGATAATCATTAATATTTATGCTAAGGACTACCTCATAAGGTCAGCAACTATCACTTAAAGGCAAAAATAAGATTTACGAATATTATTTACTGATATAATAATTACAATAGTCTACAAGATAAAAGTAAAAAATGCCAACATAAAACAAATCATATAAATTATTAATAGAATCAATGGGGAAACAACGATTCACCTTAAAAATGAACATAGTTTTACTCAGTAATTAGTTATGAACGGTAATATATAGGGGGTGGGTGGAAAATAGGGAAGATGATGTGAGTGAGAAATAGATGAAGCACTTACCATATGGTAATAAGAAAGTTATTCGTAAAAAACCGGCGAGGTTTGAATTAGCCCAAGTATGAGAGTGGGATAAAAGAGAAAAATGGTTACAAGAAAACGAAAAACAACACTAGGCTGGAAAACAAATAATTAACAGAATTTTACCTATGCTGACTACATTCCTAGTGCTGTCAAAAGAAGAATAGATCTACTTTCAACCACTTTACTGGAATCCACTGCTCCCATACCCGTTCAATAGTCACGAGTTGCTTTAAACAGACATAATTATAACTTATTTGATTACAGAAAACGTGCCGCTTTCATGAGGTTGGTCAGATCAGTTTTGATATTATTATTACTTAGTGGGGAGATATCAAATTATGTTATATAGTGTTACATAGTGTTTACATGAAACCTAAGAGTCATGTGATCGAAACGAAGTGTCGCTATCCTCGAAATAGATTAGGTAAGAAATAAAAAAGGCTTAAGGAAGTGATATGCAGCAAGGTAAGAAATTCAAAGCAGGTATAGAAAAGGAAATAATTTCAAAATATCAATTATAAACTTATTATCCGACATCTGCAGCAATGAAGTTATGACTCAAAAGAAAATTCACAAGAAAGATGTTATCCTCCCCAAATATAATCTGTTTCGCATCAAATTGATCTTTATACAACTATGATGTAATAAACTCATTGCTAATTAGAAGCCATAGGTACTCAATTTGTTAACAAATATGGAATTATTCAACATTGTTAAACTATAGGGAGTCGGCAGTGTAGAGGGACAGTATAAATTTATAATGTAATTTATACATTGTATGTACTTACTGAATGATATATTGGATTACATAAGTTATTAGCTCCAGGAGAGTAGCTGAAATTTAACGAAAAAGATGGAATATCAGATATATATATAACATATGGTACATATGCCCAACCACCGATTACCACAGTGCGCAATGCTGATTAGTGTTGGAGATGGATGGAACAAAGTTGGGGGTGGTCAAATCAAAACGTGGCATCAGTTCATAAATTAACTAACTTCTGGCCTGAGCTATGTTGGTAGATCTATATTACTTGGTTGGGGGCCGCACAATTATCGTAACCATTCGTTGGAGACTACGGGTGACATGGCTCAGAATCGATCACAATGGCGAAGGTGTATACATTCTTTGTCTCCATTTAAACCGTGAGATTAAAATTACTTTATACCTTTCTTTCTACCAACTAATTATCTCTTGCTGTGTCCTATCTTACAACTGAAATAACTGCTACTATGAATTCGGTATTCATTTTGCTGCGCTAATGAGGTATGGCAACTTGGACCGATGCATATATATGCCTGGTCCTACGTTGCAGATAACCAAATAATTGATATACATATAAGCACTAAGGATAGACATTATTTAGGGTAAAAATAATGTAAAACTAAACTAACTTATTAGAGTTTGAGATATTCTGCTGTTTTGGTGACATGATTAGTTGTGAACATTTTTGTTGTGATTGTTTAAGCTCTAATTCCAAATGACGACAACGTAGACAAAGTCTTTCTATCGCTTCATCCGCTGCAGCTTCTTGAGCAGTCAACTATATGAGATTTGAAAAAAGAAACCGAAAATAAGTAATTTGTGAGACAATTATCATTTATATTCGTATTATAGAAACGACAGTTTAAATGTTTACTTAACCAACAACTGAGTTATCAACATACAATTAAAATTAAAGTTAGAAGATTAATTTTTATTGACAATGTGAAATCGTATCTAAAATGAAACTGAAGATATCAATTTCATTTGTATGGTACAATGTGCTATGGATATCTAATCAATTAGAATGAATATTGCACTATTATTGTACTAATAATGTATATATATATATATATATATATATTAAGTAACTTACACGTTGTTCTAGATTTCGAATACGTGATTGGAATTTTCGTAGCTGAATTCTATGATCATGCAATTCACTGGCTAGTGCCCAAGACACTGTACTAACACAGTCTGTAGCTATATCTGAATTTTGATTTTTATTAGTGTAGTCATCTTTATTAATTAGATCAGTTGGTAAATATACATTATCTTGGATAAGTACAGCTTGACGAATATACTCCATGATAGCTTCGTTACGTCGACGAGTCGATGCTGCAGTTGCTGTACCTTTTAATGCTGATCGAGGGCTAGATTGTTGATAATTTAAGCCAGTGGAATAACCATTTAATGATTTTACATTATCACAACCATTTGAAGATTTTCTAAACTGTTGAAAAAGACTGTTTACAGGTGATGAATCGTTTGTATCATTATTATTAACACTAAGATATTCCATATCATAATCTACACTACTTTCATCAACAGCTATCACATCCTCGTCCTCCTCCTCCTCCGCATCATCATCCTTGTTCCATTGTTTAGCTTCTTTCAATGATCGTGTAGCTACAGCAATCAAATTATGTAAAGCTTCGGTAGAATCACCGCCTGATAACTGAAAAACCAAACACACAAAAACATGTATACATGTAATATGCTTACCGAAAAAAATGACTAATAAACAAATTATATCATTATTATGGTATTTATTTATTAAGTAGATATTTATGTATATATCCTGGAGCCACAATTCTCATCAATTGGTAAGTGTTAGGGCAATAACATATAAATATTTATGGAGTGTTCTTTTTTCCTAAACTAAAAACTCCGATCATTAAGTATGAGCTAATAAGGTATTCAAAGTGAATAACTTATCCGTATATATCTATTTCACGCTTTAATTATTCATTAAATAGTTATTGGTGAAAGAGAAAAACAAATAAAAAAATCATGGTAAAACATACAATAAAAATATAACTATTAATATCATTAAACAACGAAATAAGAATTTCTTATTTTCATAAAATTCAAGAATATACATAGGATTGAAAACAACACTTCGGATAAAACGAGTATAATACTATCCAACTCAATCACTACAGATACATATTTTGATGACGTTACGTTCTGTGAGTTAGGGGATTCAATCGTCAAAACTTTATCATCTTTTTGGAAAGACGTGAGCAACTAGAATTTTTCTCCAAGTGACTAATGCGGAATCTCGAAGGGAAAGGAAAAAGAGGAAGACCAAGGAAGCAGACTTCAAAAGAATGAATAGTAACTGGAGACAGTTGGAAAAGACTGCTCAGGACAGAGTTCGATGGAGAATCCTAGTGGGCTGCCCATGTTCCTCCACGAGGGGTAATAGGTGTAAGCAAGTAAGTGAACCTTATCTTATTATGAAAACTAGACACATTTAGTTAAGTGTAACGTCACTAATTTCGCTGATTTGTTGCACAGAATATCCATACAGGGCCAATGAACATCAAAACCTTTAAATGATTATTTTGACGTATTTACAGTATTTTTTTCTGGTCTTGGTATTTAACATGATCGCTAATAATATAATTATCATTAGATTGTGACTTGTTGACCAAAAAATGTAAAAGAAAATATATGATCACCAAAAGAACGAGTTTATGTTTTAGTGTAAGAACCCCCCCCCCCCCCAAAAAAAAACAGACAAATATTCCAACCGAAATAAGGCAGTGATGGTTCTCTGGATAACCATCAACATCATCCTATATAAATTTTACCTAACCAAAGGAAAAGAGGAAGACCAAACACATTACGCCGAGAAATGGAGATAGACATGAGAAAAATGAACAATTGGATGGAACTAGAAAAGAAGGCCCAGGACAGAGTGGGTTGGAGAATGCTGGTCAGCGGCCTATGCTCCATTGAGAGTAACAGGCGTAGGTAAGTAAGTAAGTAACCATCTGTTATTGTTAAATTGAATAGATTATAATTATGATCATGACATCCATCAGGTACAGATTGTCATACTAAACTTCGATCTATAATCTAAGTATGACGGTTAGTGATATACTACTTGGTTGCCTAAAACAAGATATATGAAAAGGGATTCAAATCTGGAATTTAATTGTTGAAAACTGGACATCTTATCCACTGAACTACTCTATTCTATAAGTGAATAATTATCATTATAAGAATTGAAAACTCAATAGAGTACAACGGACTAAACATAAAAATAAAATAAGTTATTAAAAAGTTAGTAGGTTAAATAAGCATCACAATGATGACACGATATCCGTTGACACATCCATGTTTTGTAATACTTTAAACGATAAGTACATTTAGTTATACTGTTGTTAGCTAATTATAAAAAAATGTTTTATCATATAATTATAAAAAAGCAGTGTACTTGAGAATAATAATAATAATAATAGTAATAAAGTGAGGAATAATTTTTACTCAGTCTGATGCATCATAAGATTATGTTGAACAAATCTCAACTGGTAAACAACCGTAATATGCACATAAATGAATAAATGACATTACAAAAAATGCTAAAATATGCATTATAAAACGATAATACTACACATTTTAATGTCTATTAATCTCGTGACTTTTTTAGTTTAGTAATTGGGTGGGTTACCAAAAAAAGAACAAAAAAACTAACTGTACAAACGTAACCAATTCTAACCCAACCTACATTGTGTTATAAATTTATCTATTTCCCTACACTTCATTTCGTTTTAACTAGTAAATATTAAAGTTTTCAAAAGAAGATGAAAAATAAAATCAAATAAATAATTCATGTGATATGAAAGAGTTAGGAGATTAAGCTCATAAATGAGTGAAACATATAGATGGTAGGGCAAGAATAGAAGAAATAATCAATTATGAAGTGAACTGAAATGTCATATACTGAATAGATTACAAAGGATAATAATAATAACCACCACCACCACAACAACAATACAAAGACAAAGACCGAGAACTAATCAACAATGCTGACATAGAAATAGGGTAGACATAATATTATGATCATGAAAATAATTTCTTTTTTTTTGAAATTAGTTTTAACTATAATAAAAGAAAAATATCACTGAAATATTCAATTTTCAATAAAAATAGAAATAAACATTATTTCACATGTTATGCATAAAATTAAATAACAATTTCTCTTAGTGAATAATATATATATATATAAAAGAAATTTTGTAGATCTATGATAATAAGTAGTATTTTATCAGATGAAAATGAGTCATATTTTATGGTAAGATAAATGATATAGAGAAAGATAGACGGAAATATGTAGAATGAAAATTATTGTATGAATAAGCATTGTCTAATTTATATCAGACAAAAATATTTTATTGATTTGTCCAATTATTAGTCAATTTACCCTTAATATAATCGATATAAAACAGAAGTTAACATTTGGAATAAATAATTACAATTACTATAGGTTAAATCAATATAGAAGATAGAATAATTTATCAATACTATATGGACTAGGTTGGTTGAGGTGGGGGGAGATAATTGACTAATTCACATGTTAAAAACAGATGATCGTCTAACACCTCCAATCCAATAGACTTTTACTTAAAGGTAGAGAATGTTTAAACATGTGTAACACATACCAACCATCGCAATTTGTAATATGTTCACTATTAGAATAGTAGATTTAATGATAGAGTTAAGGGTTCCCAGCCAAATACATATACCATCAATCCTCTTAAACTAATAACCACTGATCTATTATAAAAATATGAAGAATTTCTAGTTGGACAATCATGAGACTTAAAGTGATATTGATTATAAACTATTCCATATAAACTCTAATTTATTTATTACTGGCGTTGTAGCTGACTGACTGATTTATTACTGAGCATTCTGAAAAGAGCAAGAACAAAGATTCTAGCAGAATAGCATGAATCCATTTTATTTCGTAGGTTCTCGTTAGCTGCTTACAACCTGTGATATTTAAAAATCATAATTACTTAATGGGTTTAAATTGCTAACTGAATATTGTAAATATATACCTAATGTGAAAGAATATTCTACAACATTAATTGTGACAACAGTTCAAAAGTGGGTTAGAAACAATCGATTACATAATGAATAACATTGAAGGAATGTAGTGAGTAGATTTCAGTTGAGATTATTAATTTGAAAGATAGTTGAAAAAATAAAATAGAGTCAATGATGTAATAAATGCAAAAGAAAAAAGAAAAAAATAAAATTTTATGGTGCAGTGAAGGAATATTTGTCACCAGGGCAAGGAAAGATTAACCACCGTTCTCTAAGTCAGGTATATCTTATTTTTAATTTAATTTGTTTTCTATGAATTTTTGTTGTAGGTACAAGTGATATCATTATTTTTACACCATTTATCGCTCTGTTGTGCTAATTTGTTGACGTAACGTTGATGAAAAGTATACCGTCTAAAATTATTCCATAGTTATTAAATAATATTGTTATTATACTTATTGTTCTTTTATGTTAATTAAATAAGGTCATAATAATGTATAAACAAACAACTGGATTAAGTCATAATTTACATACATTCTACGTACTTGTAGTGAACGCAAATAAATTAGGAAATTAGTGAAATGCACAAAACATTTTTTCAAAGAAACTTACGTTTACAGGATTATCGGTTTGAGTAGACACAACCTCTTGACTAATTAAAAGTAAAATAGAAAAAATAACCAGAAGTTAATAAACAACAGTAGTAGTGAACTGGTAAAAAAAAAACTGAACATAGTCAATCCCATTACATTCATTGATCATTGAACAACGACAAGCGTCATGTTCATCTAGTCAGTTGTATGCAACGTAGAACCCAGGATGTTTTTCGAGTCCCTAGTACTGATTGAATTCTATCAACGAAAAGTTGAAATAAGGCCACTAGTCTTTGTGACTCAATATCGAGTGAATTGTGATTTGATGTTAGTTGATTAAAGAACCCCTCCTTTATGTCTATCATTTTGTAATAGTTGGCACACAACAACAAGGAGTACCTAATCCTTTGCGAACTGATGCACCACGGTAGATTAAAATCCGGACCACCCAGTTTCACAATTTCAATCCACCAGGTATAATCAGTCCCGACAAGACTACATATACGTCTTACTGATTAGTGCCAACTAGCACAAACCCTTCGGAATAGTAGGGTTTTATCTCGACTATCTTTAACCATCATCTAAATGCGCCTTCCTGTAAAATTCATCAGACAAAATATTGGAAATTCTTCAATTATATATTACTAACGTTTTAAAATGTTAACCAATGACAACCATAACAAGGACAGATATGAATGCAAAACAACAATCGAACTAGTTATTCACAAACTAAAAAATGGTTGGTCTGTAAGCTGAATGATGTATGAATCGATGAAAATGTAAATTACCCTGCATGATAAGAGTGAATACCATTAGGTACATCCTAATCTTTAGTACTTAGCTCTCAGATTACGATCAAGTGTTCAGCCATATTTATTCATAAATAAACTGGATGGATTAATAATAAATGCAATGAAGTTACTGTGCAAAATATTCATTATATAAGAAAGGCTATCATTATCACCAGTCTTATCTAAATAATACTATATACATAAAAGAACATGTGTTGTGAAATCAGTCAGTCCCTGTTAACCTTCCCGGTATCACATTTCCACCCTTAGTAAAAGATAAAAATAACTTTGACAATAAAATTAAAATGATAAAAACTAACTATTTATCAGATGAATTATTATTTAACTTTGACTCTTTCTCAACCGCCTTTTCCTCTCCTTCCTTATTATTCTCTTCGTCTTCCTCTTGTTGTTTTTCTGTCAATATCTTTGCTATGCGAGAGTTGGGTGGATCTTTTTCTCTGGCGAGAACAAAACTAAAGTAAAACACATTGAAAAGAAACAATTAAACGTGAAGTCGACAACAACAACTATTACTACTAAGTAACCTGTTATATCCGAGTGGAGATTAAATTACAGATAACTTCCGAGGACTATTCATGGACTAATATCCTATAAATATTCTTATTGTATAACTATTCAACAATTACATTATGTATATTTGTATCCCTCTTATGACAAGCTTTATTTTGGCCTATAATTTATTATTGTACGATTTACGGTTCTTAAGTTATGTTCAGTTTATTAACTACTGCCTCCCACATTCACAGCCACTTTTTGGGCTTATTTGTGTACAAATATTATTTCCTATTTTATGGTACGTTGCGGTCTGTATGATTGATATATAAACCAAGTATGCCTGAAATAAACGATCTGCTCTGATTCGGAAGCTGATATCTTGTTCTGGACTCAAGTGGAAGAGCTCGTAGGACATAGGACCAATAAGGACGCTAAACTGCCCACACCGGTTGAACGTCATTGGTTGGCCTAGTGTGAAGATTCGTATAAGTCGTATTCGGATTGGTAGATAAATCGTGTGATAGAAAAGCCAGACATACAAAGGACATAACAATTGGCGACGGGGATTTTGGCAACAAAGAAATAATAATAATACAAGTGGTGACTCAGATTTTGGAAATAAATTAGCTGTATAATTGCCGGTGATTTTTGGAGCTAATATTATTGGCAAAAAAAATGTCGATTTCTTTCGAAGAGTTGCGGTTAATATTACAGCACCAGCAGAAGATGTTGGCCTTCCAACAACAGCTATTTGAAACAGTTTTGGGCAGACTTTTCACTCAGCCGGAAAATAAGAAATCTATATATCATGCAGATAATGGTGCAGTAATGGACATTTCAGAAGCATATCCTGTGCAGGGTTCAAATCCCTCTATACCAGAAGGAAAACGTAATATTGGTAACGTGTCCAGCTCAGAGCAAGAAAATATTGTGCTAAATGCACATGAAGTTGTGACAATACCAGATGATCAGGAGCAAGATCTTGTAGATGATGCCCAGAGTCCAGAATCAAATGAAACACTACTGGTACTGTCTAGCTGCGAAAATAAACGTCAGCTTGAACAAAACTGTGGCCCACGTGCTATTAGTCGAGAAAGCTATAGTGACTCGTATTCAGAAAATAACTGGAGCAACACGATGAACCAAATTGCACCAGATGTTACTCAAAATCACCGGAAGACAGAATTTTATATTGAGTCAACTTATTCCATTTCTAATGACAGTGTACCAGATATTGATTCTCAGAATAATGCATATGATTTTGATGAAACTTCTTATAACAATGAGGGAAATATGTCAGCTGAGTCGAATGATGGCCAAAAATCTAATTTAATTCTGTTAGACGTTGACTTTCTTAATGACTCGTTATCTGCTAACGAGATTCATAATGAATTTGAAAATAATGAACTCAGATCAAAGGTTGTTCATCATCATCTAGTCATTTTTAGTGGCTTCTCCAGTCAATACGAGAAACATGGTTTAAATAAAGTCCTACTAGTTGTAATTTGGAGCCATAAGGACCCAACATTATTTCGAGGAGGAGGAGAATGTTGGAGAATTGAAAGTTACACATAATTTTTTTTTAAAAAAAAATCAGAATCTAAACTTGGAATCTTAAAAAAGAAGGGGGGAGGTGTTATATCCGAGTGGAGATTAAATTACAGATAACTTCCGAGGACTATTCATGGACTAATATCCTATAAATATTCTTATTGTATAACTATTCAACAATTACACTATGGATATTTATATTCCTTTTATGATAAGCTTTATTTTGATCTATAATTTATTATTGTACGATTTACGGTTCTTAAGTTATGTTCAGTTTATTAACTACTGCCTCCCACATTCACAGCCACTTTTTGGGCTTATTTGTGTACAAATATTATTTCCTATTTTATGGTACGTTGCGGTCTGTATGATTGATATATAAACCAAGTATGCCTGAAATAAACGATCTGCTCTGATTCGGAAGCTGATATCTTGTTCTGGACTCAAGTGGAAGAGCTCGTAGGACATAGGACCAATAAGGACGCTAAACTGCCCACACCGGTTGAACGTCATTGGTTGGCCTAGTGTGAAGATTCGTATAAGTCGTATTCGGATTGGTAGATAAATCGTGTGATAGAAAGACCAGACATCCAAGGACATAACATAACCAGATAAAAAAAAGGATGATTGCAGTTGAAATTTTTAAAATAACACATATACACAAATATAACGAAAATTTTCGCTGGGCTGGATGGTTTGCTCGGAGAACAAAACTACATCTAAATCATCTACCTGAACTACAAATCTTCTCCATCATCTCAAAATCATTCGAGCCTAGCACGCTTTCCGTTGTTAGAAAATCGGACAATCTAATCAAGAGGCAGGCTTCCACTGGAGAAAAACGTTATTTTCTTTATGAATGTCTTTGTCAGCACAACATGATCAAACCATCGAGCACAGACAACAAAATTTCACCTAAATCATTCAACTGAGCAACAAATTTTCTCCACCATCTCAAATATATACAAATCTATTTTTGGATATCTATCAACATATTCGATAGATTTATTAGAGTAATTCTTTTTGTTATCAAAGCATGAAGAAAATTACCTCCAAACTATATGAAAAAACTATTGATTAACGCCATAAAATAATTGTGAGTAGGTTACTAGGATTCGACTATAGGTCTTTGAACTACTGGTCGTATATTTCAGGACCATCGGATTAGCAATTCTGGGGTTAAACGCAAAGTACTAGTTAAAGATGGAAAACAGGTTAATGAGGTAATGAATCCCTCTCAAATGAGATCCTTAGGATATGTATTAATCACAGCATATTCACCGATAAACAGGACGCGTGATGATGACTGGTATAGTGTTAATGTTGGAGAAAGCATGAGGCGGCCAAACCAAGACATGGTATCAGTATATGAAGACACTAAATGTTAGACCAAGTCATGTAATTAGGCTCAGACTACTTGATTAGGATAAACACGAATACCTTAACTAATGGTTAGAGACCGAGTAACATGGTTCAGAATCGTTTGCAATGCTGCTGATGGATTCAATCTTTGTTTTTCCATAGATTTTAAGCTTCTAAATTACCCTATAAATATTTCCCATTCCACTAAACTATACTTTCTTCTTGAATCATACCTTTTATGACTAGTCTTTGATACTACCAATAATACTAGTACAACTTATACCACTCTAGCATCTTATTGTGTTAGTGTGACGTAGTAATTTGAACTGATTGTATATGTTTAAAGTTTCTTTTGTTACATATGACTAAACGACAATTTTCGATAAAAATGTCTCAGTAATGTATGCTTATTGAGATTCACAAATTGCTGCACACTGTATTCCTAAAACTTACGGATCGAAATTATACAAAGATTTGTGATAATCTGTCTTGTTCTGATTTTAGGCTTTAGGTAAGTAATGATATCATGGACTACATATCGTGTAGAAACAGTGAAGAAAAATAGTGAAATCATTTGTAAATGGCGCAAGTTAGTGTTATAGAAATAAGTGAAGAAACGACATTGAAAAAGTACTTACTGAATGATTTCCCCAGTATTTTGGAGTACTTGAGCTGCGAATTGTTGAGAGACACCAACCAAACTATGGCCATCTACTTGAACAATTTGATCGTACACTTGAATACTGTTAAATGTTTATTAGAGATAAAAAATAAGACAGGAATTTCATAGATGCTTTACACACAATTTAAAAAACAAATACAGGTTTATATACTCAACTCTGAACCATACTTTTTAGATCAGGATTAGTTACGCTACTCAACTGCCTTAACTGATGAAAGCCAGTGTTTAAACCCATGATTGCATGATTAAAAAACTGAACACCCTAATATGTAAGATAATCTAAATAACAATTTTCCAGGATTGCATAGCCGAACATAAGATCTAATTGGAAACTGGATTAATCACCTACATGCAACATGTTTGAGTAACCATCGCTGCTTACAAATCTGCATGCATTATCAGGAAAGCTCAGTTTTCTAGGTAAATTTCTTTCTTTCTATATCTGATTATGTTGGTCAAGTATATAAAAAACGGATAGTTACAGTTAATTTAGGCAATACATCGGTTACATATAATACATTTTTCATTCTGCAAAGTGAAATCAAAACTTCCAATAGATGTAGACAATTTTATTTTTTATCAGCAGATATGGATGGTGGTTAGCAGTAGAATCTAGAACACACGTTTCATCCTATCTAAAACTCGTCAGCTAAATGTATCTACAGCCTCGAGTCCCGGAGTGAATATCAACTCTGGGTTAAACTCTCATATTATGTCCAGGACTCTGAAATGCAAGTTCATCCAGCTGACGAGTCCCAAATAGGAGGAAACGTTCGTCCTAGATTTCACAGCTAGTCACTATCTATATCTGCTTATAATGCTAGCGATTTGAAGCATTATTGAGGCGATCCACAGACGATGTTCAATTTAGCTTTAAAAAAAAATTAAGCAACATGAAAAAGCTAGTATTTTTCAAAATATATCCAGTAGCGATTACAAATTATTCACCTTACACACTTAGTGATATATGCTTTATTAAATATGGGAATTTTCACATCATATTATATGCATCGTTCATTTGAATCACACCCGTTTATTATAGTCCCTTAATTAATAAAATTAAACTCCCTTAGAAATAATAGTGATATGATGAATATAATTCAATCATTACAAAATAAACTACAACGAATAAATTATCATTGTTTCCTTAGAAAACAACTATTTTTTTTAAGTCAGTAGAATAAGTGGATCAAACAAATATGACCTTATAGATAACAACAAACAAATGTCAATCAATTAAGAAACTTTAATTTTAATAGACAAATTATGAAAATGTTGCAGCACTTATTTTTGCGTATAATAAATCACAGTGAGTGTAGTTTTATCAAACTTGATTAACAAACATAATTTTATCAATAATCTATAGCTAAATGTCTATTTTATTATTTAATCTATAAGAGGATGAACTAATGAGTGCATTTGACAAAACTTTTTTTTAAATGGAAAAATATATAAGATTGAATGAGGGAGAATAATTGTGATTGTGTACTTTGGACTGGGTAATTTTATTGTGAAGTTTACGTTGCCACTTTGGACAACTTCATCAGTGTTTATGTAGAACTGAGCTGTTTCATTAATTCAAAAGCGTTAAGTCAACCTATTCTGGTGACTTTGTCTGTGAATAGTTGTTTTGGTGAACTTCTCCATTTTCTTTTTTTTTGTTTTTTTATCAGGCGTTGACCTTTTACCGCGCAATCGCTCAATGTTTACAGTCTATATTGGTAAACAAGGTATCAGTCGAGATGTCAACTAATTGCAAATTGGCTTGAACGCTACGCCTTCAGAAATTCTTTGCTATTTTATCAATTTCGTCTATCAAGAATTTTGAAATTTTTTAAATCCCAGGTTATCAGTGTATATTAATACGAGTGATACCATATCATTTCGTTTAAGGATGAATTTACGTCCGTATATGTGTGGGTGAAAGTATGAACTTTATTCAATGTAATGCTTGTAGCAGTTGGGATTTATTTATTAAATGATATTGTATTAGTTCTCTTTCGTTGTTGACCTTTAGTATGAATAAAACAGCTCTGGTGATTATCTTGGGGGATACCAAGTTTTCTAGACTGAATAGCTTAAATGTGAAACTTTTCGTTTTGAATATTATGACAATCTAGCAAGTTACAACGCATAAATTCAGTAACGTATCATCGTACATACATATTTGACTATTCTGATTTTAAACAAGCTAAAATTTACTTAACCTACTGTAATATATGTATTCACAAATTTGATATGCCTTAAGGCTTAACTACATAAATTTATAATCAGATGACTTATATCTCATAAACCGGTCAATAAAGGCAACATGTATCTTGATATATATACCATCAAATACAAATCATCTGAAAATAATCAGAGTATAATGTTTATAAATAAATTTTGCATTTGTTTATCACTTGTTCATTATGAGACAAACACATAACCAATATGGAGATAAGTTAGTGTGATGACATTAACTCCTAATTACTAATATTTAATTAAATGGTATTTATTTTTACATTAAAATAGACCCTAGAATTGTGTCCAATTGTTTTATAATCACATAAACACACTTCAAAATTCGACCAACTATGAACATCAAAATCTATGTAACTAAAGGATTTGGAATGAAATACCTTTCATGGCTAAGCGGTTTTTTGCAATATTAACATACAGCTTTTGATTTAATGCTCATATATTAATCGTACCACTGTGCTATATAATCAACTATTGATGAAAATGAGTAAACACCAATATAGGGTATCGTAGTTGAAACATTGTAGACAGTTTCCTACAAAGTAATTATCATGTAAATGTATTCAAGAAACATTAATTAATCTATTACTGACTAGCCTAACGCAAAATCTGAGGCTATACAATGTTATCAGTTTTCGTCCACAAGTGGAGACTTTTTAGAGAAAAAAGAAATTGATTTAAAATGACATGGCAATTGATTGCATTTTACTGAAATTCGATCTCCTAATTAAATCAGAAAAGAGATTTCTATGAATATTCCGATGATGGTTTATGACATTGTAAGCCAATCAGAAGTAGCCAAATGCAATTGTTAATCGATTGCAAACAAAAGAGACTAGAAGGACAAGTAGATATCATTGGCTTAGAAATATACTGACTTTCTAAGGCACGGAGTTGAATATATATATAGAGAGATGAACATTCGTGTATATTACTCGGTAGCCCAATAAATTCTCTCGTACAGTCTCGTGTTCTCACTTAAGTAGTCAGTTGGGAGGTCAGGGTGTAGCAGGTCGTGTATCAGTATCAGATTTCGGACATCACACGTCACAACAGTTTCTGAGGAAGTTATTTTTCTCAAACTCACGCGAAAACAGATAGAATCCCAAACTATCGATTTCAAATTAGCTCAAATCAATTTTGTCACAGCAGCAAAAACAATTTCAGGCATCACGATGGAAAATATTAGAAATGACGACACAAATTTTTTCAATTCAATAAAATTCAGAACAGGTGTCCGAATTAAAGCGTTCAACTACTAAACAGCTGATCAATTTGACGAGCGAGCTTTACCTTGGTCTTGATGCATGCGTCACATTTTTGTAATCAAATTTTTCAGGAAAAAATAAAGAGCTGATCAACATCAGATTATTTACTTCTAATCAGTAGATAGTGTTTGGAATTTCTTTTATCAAAATACTATGGATAATACTTCGTTTGCAAACTCTATATAAATTGAATCTGCGTGAATAAATATTAACTGAAAAGATTAGAAATGACCACATCATTTATTCCTGTAAAAATACTTATATTAAAACTGACACATAATGAGTTGAATGTGAGGACTTTCAGTGAATGAATGTAGACGGTTTCAGTGATAACTGCCGATACCCGTAATGTTCTAAAGGTAAGCCAATTACTAGCTTACCGATATGCACTACATTTACAAGTATGTACGGAAGAGGATCTAATAAAAATTATAAGTAATTTACTAAGTATCACTTAATCTATCATCATACATGATTTCATTGAAATAGGTTGGAATGTTAGACACATGTAAAACACACTGATGCAATTTCTGTGTAAATCGACAATGCTACTGAGCTAAATTACCAATAAGTGATATGCTTGTAAATGATTTATGCTACATTCAAACGACTAACATTTGCACAATAACAGAAGTGACCATTTCAAAGGAATGATTTTAGTTTAGTCAGTATGTATGACAAGTGAACACATGCATTATTTGTCCATGTTTATATTGTTTGTGTTTGTCTGGATACCACGATGGTATATACAAAAAGATTTAAATACAAATTGTAAAATGTAAACTATCCACTTTCAAAACTATGCATGAATCATCACTATTTTTAATAGAAAGAAAATACAGTTGAATAAATGAGTAGCATAGCCAAAATGTGTATGTGTTAAAAAACAATGGGTCACTACTGCTATTACTGGTAATATTAGTAGAACAATGAATGATTTGAATAAAGAAAAACAGTGAAAAGTTTGCACTGATCCAAATAGCGTAAAGCAAACGAACAAACAAAATGATGAAATTCAATTGATAAATAGTTATACAGAATTATTAAGTGAAACATATATCGATAAATGTCATCTAGATAATAGCTGATAAAGTGTGTATAGGTGAGTGCGACAGAGAGAGAGAGAAAGAAAGGAAACATCCGAAAGATTAGATAGATGGTAACAACAAGAAATCGGAGAAAAAATTTCAAATGAAATATTAGTTTTCATGTTGTACTATTACCTAAATTAGTAACTTAAAAATTACAAACGATATATATGTAAGATGAGTTTAACATGCATAATGAACGTAAAGAATTAAACATGTTAAGATTATCACATTATGCTACATGTAAAAAAAGATTAAGGTGGAGTATGAATAACTATTTCAAAACACAATAACATATCGCCAATTGTCTTAAAAATAGTATTAAAAGTAGTATTTAGTTATGGTTATATGAATAAGCGAATTGCCGACTACTAAACATCATAAAAGATGATAGCGTTCTAATTAATGGAACGACACACGCAAAGGTCACACTTCTCTATACACTTTAACATGAAGCTATTTTCTTTCCATTCACCTACTTTTATGATGTGTATTTCAAATAATAACCAACACAAATACTTGAAGAATATATCTGTGAACTTGGCTTTAAGATCCACTTTATTTACATAACAGCAAATGATACGGCATAACTGCACAAAACAAGATAGACAGCAGTAAGGTTAATAGCCGTAGTCATTCTAATGATTAAAAATAGAGTCTTTTAATCATCAAGTTCACTTCTACTTACAAATTGTCAAGTAAAAACAAACGTCAACAAAGTATACGTCACAATTGTTGACGAATAAGAAAAACAACAAGTATATATATATATATATATATATATATATATATATATATCAACTATTGTAAATGCCACTAGTCTTACCAATATTAATGATGTAAAAACTCATAACCACATACATTCAACAAAATAACCAATGTCATACTTGAAAAACGCTTTCCATCCTCAAGAAAACAATAACAAAGCGGTGAAAGGGAAAAAGTGGATAGCTTACCGACCATCAGCCTCTGCAGCACCTCCAGGAGTAAATGATTTAATGAATATGCTTAATTTCTGTTCACCAGATGAAGTATCAACACCGGAACCAACTATGCTAATACCGAGACCATTTACACCTAAATAGAAACAATTTACGGAAATAAATATACACATTATACAAGAAAGTTATGATTAGTAAATAAAACTACAGTGCTGAAGAGTCCCATACTGAGACAAAACAGCCGTTTTCAATGGTGGTCTAACATTGAGCCATTCATGATTTCAATCAAAAGTATCCACAACCGTAAACTGATAAACAAAATTAATTATGAACAAAATGCTATGATTAATTTGAATACATGATTATATACATATATATCTACGTTAAACGGCTTTATACATATAAACTTTCAATGTCCAGTTTACGAGTGCATTTCATTAATTTTTTTATGAAATATACAATAGTAACGTTTAATATGAAATGTTAATTTAGCAAATAAATAATTTTCATATAACTTTAACACACAAAACAAACTGATTTCATACAAAACAATTATGAATTAGTATCAGAAGGGAACTCCGCCTGTAGCTCTTATAGGGTTGCTGCAGGTCCCAAGCCCGGGTAAAGGAGGAGGGTTGGGCATGGGGTTAGCGTCCCCATCCCGTAGAAAAATAACTCGCTAAAAAAACGCTTACCAGAAAAAATAATCCAAACCATTTTAACTCTGCCCTGGGAGTTAGAAGGTCTTCATTTAGAAGAATTATGACGCTTCATGGTGAAAGCCGAGTTCCTTCGGAATTCACGAGGCCGATGCCCCTTCTAACAACCAGAGCAAAAATTTTTATAGGTACATGGAACGTTCGAACAATGTGGGAAACCGGGAAGACCAGTCAAATAGCAATGGAAATGAGGAGATACAACTTAGCAGTACTGGGAATCAGCGAAACCCACTGGACCCAAGCTGGACAGAAAAGGCTAGCTACGGGAGAGATGCTGCTATACTCCGGTCACGAAGAGGACAATGCTCCACACACTCAGGGAGTCGCTCTTATGCTGTCCAAAGTAGCACGAAATGCACTTGTAGGATGGGAATCTCACGGATCCAGAATCATCAAAGCATCATTCAAAACAAAGAAGGAGGGGATCTTAATGAATATTATCCAATGTTATGCACCCACTAATGATAGCAACGACGACATTAAAGATCAATTCTACGAGCGGCTGCAGTCAGTGATAGAGAAATGCCCAAGAAAAGACCTCACCATTCTAATGGGAGATCTAAATGCCAAAGTCGGAATAGACAACACTGGATATGAAGATATTATGGGACGACATGGACTGGGAGAAAGAAACGAAAATGGAGAAAGATTTGCAAATTTGTGTGCATTCAACAAATTAGTCATAGGAGGCACAATATTTCCACACAAGCGTATACACAAGGCTACATGGATCTCACCGGACCACACTACAGAGAACCAAATAGATCATATTTGCATCAACAAAAAATTCCGAAGGACAATGGAAGATGTGAGAACCAGGAGAGGAGCTGACATAACTTCAGATCACCAACTAGTTGTGGCCAATTTAAAAGTGAAGCTAAAGAAGAGCTGGACAACTGGACAAACAGCAATACAAAGGTTCAATACAGCCTTCCTTCGAGATACTGACAAACTCAATGAATTCAAGATAGCTCTCAACAACAGGTTCCAAGCCTTACAGGATCTACTGAAAGAAGAAGAAACTACTATGGAGGACAACTGGAAAGGCATCAAGGAAGCATTAACTTCAAAGTGTCAAGAGGTTCTGGGTCTAAAGAAGCATCATCATAAGGAATGGATCTCTATAGAAACACCGGACAATATCAAAGAAAAGAAGAACAGGAAGACAGCAATTAACAACAGCCGAACACGAGCAGAGAAAGTCCAAGCACAAGCTGAATACATAGAAGCAAACAAACAAGTGAAGAGGAGCATTAGAGCCGACAAGAAGAAATGCGTGGGAGAACTAGCAATGACGGCGGGAAAAGCTGCAAGAGAAGGAAATATGAAACAGCTTTACGATACAACGAAGAAACTAGCAGGGAAATACAGTAAACTCGACAGACCGGTCAAAGAGAAAGAAGGCAAGCCAATCACCGAAATTCAACAACAGCGTAACAGATGGGTAGAATACTTCGAGGAACTCCTGAATAGGCCGGCTCCAATGAATCCACCGGACATCGAAGCAGCACACATAGATCTTCCTATAGATGTCAATCCACCAACTACGGAAGAAATTAGAATGGCCGTCAGACAAATCAAGAACGGGAAAGCAGCAGGACCCGACAACATACCAGCTGAAGCACTGAAATCAGACATCGAAACAACCACAAGCATGCTTTATCTTCTATTCAAAAAGATTTGGGAGGAGGAACAAGTGCCGATGGACTGGAAAGAAGGACACCTCGTCAAGATTCCAAAGAAAGGAGATCTGAGCAAATGTGAAAACTACAGAGGCATCACACTACTGTCAATACCAGGGAAAGTCTTCAACAGATTGTTGCTGAACCGGATGAAGGATGCAGTAGACGCCCAACTTCGAGATCAACAAGCTGGATTCCGTAAGGATCGGTCGTGCACAGACCAAATTGCAACACTACGGATCATCGTCGAACAATCAGTTGAGTGGAACTCATCACTATACATCAACTTCATTGATTATGAAAAGGCATTCGACAGTGTAGACAGGAGGACGTTATGGAAACTTCTTCGACACTACGGAATTCCTGAGAAGATTTTCAATATTATCCGGAACTCATACGACGGACTACAGTGCAAAGTAGTGCATGGAGGACAGCTGACAGATGCATTCCAAGTAAGGACCGGAGTCAGACAAGGCTGTCTACTCTCTCCCTTCCTCTTTCTTCTGGTGGTCGACTGGATTATGAAGACCTCAACATCTGAAGGAAAACACGGAATACAATGGACAGCTCAGAATCAATTAGACAATTTGGACTTCACAGATGACCTAGCCCTCCTATCACGTACACACGAACAGATGCAGATGAAGACAACCAGTGTAGCAGCAGTCTCTGCATCAGTATGCCTCAGCATACACAAAGGGAAAACTAAGGTCCTCAAATTCAAAGCGGAAAACAGCAATACAATTACTCTTGATGGCGAAACTCTGGAAGATGTAGAATCCTTCACATATCTGGGAAGCATCGTCGATGAACAAGGAGGCTCAGATGCAGACGTAAAGGCGAGGATTGGCAAAGCAAGGGTCGCATTCCTACAATTGAAGAACATATGGAACTCAAAACAACTCTCAAACAATATCAAAGTGAGAATCTTCAATACGAACGTCAAGGCAGTTCTACTGTATGGAGCTGAAACTTGGAGAACTACAACAACCACAATCAAGAAAGTACAAGTATTTATAAATAGCTGTCTTCGCAAGATACTCAACATCCATTGGCCGGATACCATCAGCAACAGCCTTCTGTGGGAGAGAACAAACCAACTTCCAGCTGAAGAAGAAATTAGGAAAAGACGATGGAAATGGATAGGACATAGATTACGCAAATCGTCAAACTGCATCACGAGGCAAGCCCTAACTTGGAATCCTGAAGGGAAGCGAAAAAGAGGAAGGCCAAAGAACACATTGCGTCGGATAATAGAAGCAGATATGAAAACGATGAATTACAACTGGACGGAGCTAGAAAGTATTGCCCAGGACAGGGTTGGATGGAGAACGCTGGTGAGCGGCCTATGCTCCTTCACGAGGAGTAACAGGCGTAAGTAAGTAAGTAAGTATCAGAAGGGGTTTTATGGAGATTGTAGTAATTTCCACAGTTGAGATCATGAATCAATTGACGCTAGACCACCATAGAAAACCTGGAAGCACTGGACGGCCGTTTCGTCCTATTGTGGGACTCCTCAACTGTTAAAATTATGAATTAAACAAAATTTAAGCCGTAAAATTAAATAACATAACATAATAAGATATCAACTGTGTTCTTTTCCAAAGATACACCACACAATATAAACAACAAGTAGTAAGAATTTTTATTTATTTCTACTAAGAGTTAGTTCAAGAAATAAATTAAAAGTGAGAATAAATTAGAAAAAAAATCAACTAATTCGACTGAAAATGATGAAATAAGCGTATAACAACTATGTACAACATCTATTTGATTCATTTGGTGTTGTTTTATTTGTATCCTCCCATTGTTATTTAGGACTGCAATTGATCAGTCGTCTCATATTGGCATATGTGCATCATCATTTTATTATTCTGCAATTATGAAATGTTTTTCATAATGAACTAAACAGTTTTTTAAGCGAAGATCGATAGTGGTTAGCAGTGGAATCCAGGACTCGCGTTTCATCCTACTTGAGACTTGTCAGCTGGATGTACCTGCATGAGACTTATCAATCGCAGTGCTAAATAACAGTGGGTAGATACAAGTAAAACAACATCAAGTGCACAAGCAGGTGGCTATCAGGACTCAGTAGGTAAGTGGATAACGCGATAGTATTTGATGCGAACGGTAGTGGGTTCGAGTCCTGGAATGAACGTCAACTCTGAGATACAGGTACGTTCGGCTGAAGTGTCCCAAATAGGACGAAACGCGCGTCCCGGATTCCATTGCAAGCCACTATCCATCTTTGCTTAAAAAATCTGTTTGACTCATTATGAAAAAAATATTTCATAATTGCAGAATAATAAAATGATCTATTCAATACTATACTATATCTAACTAATCATTAGATACATAATGAAGGGAAATAAAAGTGACTGTCAGAAAAATCACAATTAGACTAGTAAGGTAAGAAAATTCTCAGGACTGAATTCTATGCTAGAATATGTAAACGAATAATACATATTAGGAGAGGACATCAGTACAAGAAAATCGTTTCGTTTGTAAGGCATCAACAACAAACACTACAGGATGAAGCGATCCTAGTTCATTTTTTATGCTTTAGATTTTGCATATATACAATGGGTCGTATAAACGGAAAAACAAAACGTTTCACAAATGCAATTTTTGTGTAATATAAGAATGTGATAACAGAAACTTCCGATCTAATACGTCGATGTTTTATTTTGGTTCAATCAAATTTAAAATTCACCTGAGAGCATGAATTTCGCACTAGAAAAAATTCCTTGAACCTAAATATGATAAGAACGAAGGATCATTGTTGTTTTATTTACTACGCACTTTTTAGGCAAACCAATATTTGTACTTTAACAGCTTTCGTCCGATATAAAAGTTATACTGGAATGTCGTTTTCAAGAGCGACAGCAATAGATTCGATTGATGGAGAAATGGAAGCTATTCAGACTTTACCCGAGAACAATTATCTCATAAAGCTAATCAATAAGGACTGTAAGTCAACAAATGAGATTTTACAATAAGAAATCGGCATTAATCCAAAAGGGATAATTGCACAGTGCAGAATAGCTGTCGACGAAAAGTCAGAATTGCACTGACTTTTCTAATCGACAACTCAATTATCACATATTAAACAAAAAAGCCTACTCAGAGTCTAACTTATATAAAAGAGACCACCTCTAGTCACAATTGTATTTACCTTAACTTCCAATAGCTCATATGTTGGAATAACAAAGACGATGTTATCAAAGAATCTAATAATACATTGAAATGGTGAAGATTTGTAGCTCAGGCGGATGATTTTGGAAGTTTGTGCTGATGATGTCGTTCAGAAGAACGATGAAAGCTCCACGACCAAACTATCCAGCGCAGAGAACAAAACTCCACCAAAAACCTAATAATATATTACCTAAGTTACCCAGGAGTGCCATGAGACAATATAATGGATAAACGTGACTCAACAGATCATGATACTGGTTTTCGATTGCTAAATCGACAGAATAACAGTAAAATTCTACGTTACATAGAAGCAGTAGCTGGTCGATATTTTTGGGTTCGATCTGTACCGTGATGGTTATCGATTTATTGCTACCCTTTGTTGTCACCTTTTTCTTCTTCCGAAATTAGTTTAGGGACTTTCCGCTTTACTTTTTGACACATAACCTTCCATTACGAACATTATCTTATCAACTTCTATTTAATCACAATAATACCCTTATTGTTCATTTTAATCAACTTTCCATTCATTAATTTACAGTTAGATTGTAACTAGTTATATCATTTTAACATCATTCAACAAAGCGGTTAACCCCTATCAATTTAATTATTCAAATAATTACGTTTTTATACCCTCTTCAACCATTATCATCGCCAGCATTATAAATACTTTACGATTGTTCTTTGGTAATTACGATCAATCTCATTATTTTGTCTACCGTAATCATAAAAATTTGCACATGTCTCTTCCGATTGATGACGTCATCATATTTTTCTCACAAGAGCGTTTATTTTGTTCGTCTGTTAACTGAATTTGTATAAATGTGAAGGGTATTTAAATTTATTTCCTACTTATGAACTACATGAATTTCGGCAAGTTACATACAAAATAACATTTGTAAAATATCGTATTTATTGACGTAAATAAGTGTGTATGTGGAAGATTTAGAGCAAACGAAATGAAACGAATGCAATTTATTCTACAAGGTCTGATGTTCTTGCTTTACAAAGGCTTATTAAGGCAAATAACTGCATGAAAATCTATGAATAAACTACTTGATCATTTTATAATGTGGTAGGTGAACATTATCAAAGAGGTGCTCAATGAATAATTTATACAAAACGATTAAAGTGCATCGTATATTACATGGTTTACTAGACAAATTAGATTTAGCTTATGCCTTCATGAAGCATTGGAGTACTTATTCAATTAAGAAATGAATAATGAAATGTTGGACAATTCTCAATATAACAATGACTACTATTAAACTATAAAACGTTATAAAAGGGAAACCGGTTGATTTAATGACTTAGCTGTACGATTCGATCATATACTTACGAGACAGATCATTAAACTGCAATCGGATGGTTTCTCAGAAGACGGAATTACTACGGAATCTACTGGATATACAGGTGGATATTAGATTATGCAAAATATCAATTATATACAAACTCGTTAACTAAGCATATAGGAGCCAACAAATACAAGAGTCTAATCAGAATAATAATGAAGGTCACAATCTTTCAATTTTGCTCATTATGTAGAAAAAAAATACAACAGTAAAGCTGTAAATTTTTTATGTATCTGTCAATGAATATGTATGATACTGATAATCATATGATATATATATATATATATATATATATATATATATATATATATACTAGACTTATATCATGCCACTTTGACAGTAAACAGAGTAAATGCTTTAATCTGTATACGTATACGTGAATGTACGCAGGCATTTCAACTATCATATACACGCTAATTAATATCAGTGAATGCTTTACATAATGATTACTAATGGAACAAGGAGATTCGATACAAATAATAAGCTATAAGTAATACCAAGAATTATCGAGAAAGATTGAGAGATATGTAGAAAACGAACCAATACGTATATCAAAGTGCATATCTTTATTTATTTTGACAAATTTCCAGTGACATTCACTATAACTATTAAATAATAAGCCTAAGTGAATGCGAATAGCATAAACAACACAATACATGACATTGGATCACATTTCTTAAAGTTAGGTGATCATGAGACAAGCTCATTATTAGTGATTAGATGAATTCATCTGTTTTAATCTATGTACATAGAGAAAGAGAAAGTAATTTACAATTAGAGGTAATTACTAAATAAAGAATTTTTATTGAGTGGGATTTAAACAATAAAATGATGATTAAATGATAATCAATTACTTATTAAATGATGCACAAATTTGACTTGATGTTTTACTTTTTGCAGTATATAATGTTAAAATGTAGTATGTCTGACTATTAAATGAAAATGATAATATCAGTAGGGTACCGGTTTGTGATATAGAGTACTCGTGTAATTTACTCTGAACAGCTTCGAAGATAGTGCAATTTATTTCAAAGATTGAATCACTTAATTGTATCATTCAAACTTTATGTAGAATGAGATTTTATTAATTAAATTATTCATATTTCAATAACTAAACTATGGATTTAAACGGTAAACTCTCCACTAAAAATTGTTTGTACAATTGACCAGTATCACTAGCCTTTATGTACAGAAAGTAAAGTTTCAAATTCAACGTACATCAAACCATTGAATTATTTTTTGTACTTACAATTTTAAAAAATACCATAAAGGAAAAGTATTGAGTGTACGTAACCGTATACAAATCTTAGGTAACAACACATGATGTTATATTCTTGTTGGCTAAATGATTTGAAAACACCCATTAACAGATAAAACAAGAAAACAGGTTTTAATGAAAAGTACCCTTTCTGACATGTTTAAACAGAGGCAGGTCTGGGTCGATAAAAAGTCTAATTATCAAACATTTCGTAAATACGAATTATTCAAACAAAAGACTGAAAGTTCAAATTTATTTACAAGGGTAAATGGAAACTTACCAAAAACAGTAAGCTTCCTTCACCTTAGCACTGATGAAGTCATTATCACACACCAGAACTGTGTATCTAAAGGAAGGTTATTCGACGCCTACCATGACCTTAAACGTTAATTTACCAAAGTCACGACCTTACCACCTCTCGTTATTGATTTTTTTCAACCTTAACAAATCTATTTTTATTCTCATATCCATTCTGATTGCATTTCATTTCAATATTTTACCGTATCATTTTACGTAACCCTTGAACACAATTATCAAATCTTATCTATCATATTGATAAGTATTCAAGCTCTTAATCACTGCATGTTTAGTTGGGCTTTTCTGACAAGAATAACGTTTTCATGCTCCTCTTAATTCTGCATCTCTGTCAACATGTTCGATAAACTTTACTATCAACATTATCAGCAAACATACTATTGATCATTACTTTGGAAAACATTCTATATTTGCGATTATACAGCATTGTGAGTACATTCGCCACAACAACAAAAAAGAATAGCTTTTTGCAGGATAATTGTGTAAGCTTTTAAACATATTCCTTAAATCACAATAAAGCAGATATTGACAACAAAACAAAATGTGACAACATAATCCTATTAGACAAATAAACAGATAATAAATTATTGTAGAAGAAATGAAAATGAATCGATTTGTCATATAGTACCTACGGGTAAAATCTATATACTCTACTAGGCTCTAAACAAATGGAGACTAGGTAGTAAACAATGAATAATCTAATACGAAATGCTTTAGAGAAAAACTGGTTTATGTTTATGCTTCAACAAACAATGTAGTGATGTATAAGTTACGATAAATGCTGAAACTGGTGAAATTATTTTTCAACATAAAACTCGATTAAAAATAAAAAAGGGAATAAAGGTTATTCGTTGAATCGCGTAGACTTATCAATCACAAATAATTTGGCCTTATACAAGCTTTAATATACTTAAACTTTACCGTGTGATTTATATATGAACATTAATATAAGGTGCAGGGTTGTCATTTATGTTACCGTAAACCCATGCAATGGTAACTTTGAACGATGAAAAATGTCTAACATAGTACAAAATCCGCATACACAAGGCATGAGAGAGAAAAATAGAAGTAAAACAAGTGAACACAAATCCACAGCATATGCTTTTGGTCTTACATACACATGATATAGAAAGAAACAAACCTTTACGGAAATCGATTTCAAACATATCCATATCTTCAAGATGTTTTTCTAATTCATATTCTGCTGAAGCAGACAATGGATCTATTTCTTCATTTCTACGATTATAATCTGTAGTGGAATGAGTACTGAACACCTACAACAGAGGTACAAAAATGGAGAACATTACTAGATACATATGTGGCAACAATATTTTTGGGAATTAGTAAGAACTGAAAAGATTTTCGAAAAATAAACCTACGTATATGAAAAGCAGAACACCGGTGTACTTTTAGAAGGTATTGTCTGTATATAAACGCCTGATACATTCAAATATTTGCTTAACATTTGGTAAACCGGTATGAAACATTCTAGATAACTTCTACTACTAGGGAAAAAAATTATCAACCTCGAATGAAATAGAATTGAAAATGTAATGTCAGTCAAACATTTTGAGGTAAAGTATATCTTTGCTCATACATATATATAAGGGAAATATCAAACAATATCCAGTGTTTACCAAAAATACGATCGAATTTGATAAGAATGTAGTTGTAGTTCATCATGATCATTAATAAATAACCAAGTTGTAGAATTTACACACGATTTGAGTAACGTAAGTACAACATCAAAAGAAGTCAAGTAAAAAAAATCTGTCTCTAACAGTTTTCTTCAAATTAACTGATATTTACCATATCTTCATCTGTTTATAATATCTCTACGTATATCGTCTTATTAATTTACAATCACTGAACTATTTCAATACAAATTGTCCGACAACAGACTTTCTTCAAAAAATTTTCTCACGTTCTTTATAGTTCAGTGGCCCATGAATCTGACACCAAGGAGATTGCAATGAATGTTTGTTATCGCCTATCCTTGTATATAATCATCGACTTAAATTGCGTTAGTCAATAACGGAATTAAATAAGTCAAATGACGAGAATGGACTTTTGAATACATATATTTTGTATATGAAGCGAAATGAATAGAGAGAAGAGAAAGGACGCAGAGTGGAGATGGCTGGTAAGTCAACTCCCATTTAACCAAGCGGTATAGTTACACAAAAGTAAGTTACAGACATGTGATGGGTAATGGGATAAGAAATGTACACACACCTACGCGCTCATATAAAAACAGTCAAGATTGATAAGCGAATAAATAACAAGGTCAGTATGTGACTCGAGTAGAGTGAATAGAATGGGATGTCCGAAAGTTAGAATAAGGTACATGGGTTTAACATAGTAACCAACACTACAATAGAAAAATTTCATAACTGTTAAGCTTAAAGTTTAAGAATTTGTACAGTTTCTGTTTTCTATTTTTATAAAATTATTTAATACCAATGAATCTATTTTGCCAAATACAATATTATAATACAGTGTAAATTAAATTACTTACAAAGTATTGGTTCATGTATCTGTCTTTAAGTCGCACACTGGATGTATGGTGGACAGTGATACTAACCGATTTTTCAAAACAAGGTAAGTGGAACGGAAATTAAAATTTCTGAACTTCCAAATGAAATTAAGCCTGTGAAACAGCAATAAATTTTCCTCAGGGAAAAAGAAACACTATTAGGGTATCCTAATATTCATTTTATTAAAAATGTAGAAGTGGACATCCCCATCACTTGCGCATATACGAACACGAACTAACGGTGAGACAACACGATATGTTATCACTGATACCAACGTATGTAAACAACCACAGATATGAATTCGACTGAAGAAACATCCAAATTTTGGATCGTTGGAATTTTAAAAACGTCAGAGAACCTCTAGAAGCAAGTTATTCAGATCAGCCAGGAATCAACAAACAAATAGAGATAGACCCGATTCATCGACTCGTTCCAAAAGGGTTGATCATCCACATGATTAGAGGTCAGTAGAACAACACAGTTAAATTGAATACAGGATTAAATGAGGACAACCAATTACAAACAAGGTCATCAGAGCATGTTGATTTAGCCCCAACTTTTACGAGAAGTAAGCATTAGTGGCGTATTATTTTGAAGATAATGTTCGAAAGGAGTGAAATTATTAGGGACAAAAAGGGCAGAAAAGTTGTTATTACTACAAAGGTTATTTGGAACAATAACAAAAAAAGTGAAGTACAAATCAATATAAGCTAACAAAGATGCACACACCAGTTCGAGTAATAAAGCATGTTTACATGAATATTTGCATCGCAGAGTGTAATTAATTCATTCTACAAATGGTAATCCCAACATTTAAATATAATGCAACTATCAATTTTTATCAATATTAGCATATGAACGAACCCGAAGTGACCATAACACTATGACAACTATCATCAACACTTGTTTTTAAAAAGATATATCTACTGATACGTATTGATTATGATGGATAAAAGATACAAAATCAGTTGCTCGAAGCAAGGAGTAACATTACAAGTGATGACCAAGTAGCTGATAGATGAATGATATGCTAAGTCACAGGTATAGCATTTTAATTATTCACCTAAGGTTGGAAAGCCGATTGTGAGCATTCCCACAACTTAAATCAAGGTACTTAAATACACATGAAAGTTGAGTTTAAATTAATTAAGATTAACATACGAAAAATATTTAACTTCAATATAATAACTATGATGAAGTTATTCAGTCAGTCAGTCAGTCAGCTACAATGTAGGACCAGGCACATATATGCATCGGTCCAAGTTGCCATACCTCATTAGCACAGCGAGATGAACACCGGATTCATAGGAGTGGTTAGGTCAAAGGTGGTAATATATAAAAGAAAGATTCCATATAAGGATACAGTACAGGAAGAAAGAATTAGTTAGTAGAAAGAAAGATATGGATCAATTTTAATCTCTTAGTTTAAGGGAAGACAGGGAGTGTATACACCTACGCCATTGTGGTCGGTTCTGAACTATGTCACACAGAGTCTCGAGCCACTGGTTACGACAGTCGCGCGGACCCCAACCAAGTAGTCTGCATCTACCAACATGGCTCAGACTAGAAGTTAGTGACTTCAGGCACTGATGCCACGTTTTGGTTTGGCCGCCTCTAACTTTCTTCCAACCATCTCCAATACCGGATAGCATTGCACGTCGTGGTAATCGGTGTTCAGGCATACGTAACACGTGGCCCAACCATCTCAGTCGATGAAGATTCATAACCTAATCAACCGATTTACCATCATTTCCTAATACCCTGCGTCTAACCACACTATCACTTACCCGGTGATCCCAGCAGACGCCAGCAATATTTCTAAGGCATCTGTGGTCAAATACTAGTAGCTTACGGGCGTCTTCTACTCTTAAAGGCCATGTTTCATTGCCATAAAGTAAGACAGAATGGACTGCCGCGCAGTATACTCGTGCTTTTATTGATAGACGGATATCTCGCCCTCGTCAAAGGTGACGTAAGTTGGCAAAAGCCAAACGAGCTTTACGAATCCGCGCTGAGATTTCGTCTGATACCAACTCATTAGGGCTGATCAGACTTCCAAGATAAGTGAAGTTGTCAACGCGTTCGACTACTTCACTCCCTATCCTTAGTTCAGGTGTTGGCGCAGACCAGTCCTGAAGCAACAACTTGCATTTAGAGGGAGAGAAGCGCATTCCAAACATTCTGGCATTGTTGCTTAGTGCTACCAGAAGACTGCATTTTGTCAGCGTCTTCACCAAACAGGACTATGTCATCTGCGTATTCTAAGTCGATAAGTGGACCTCCTGGATGGAGATCAATACCCCAGAATTCAGTAGACGAGAATGTTATTTCCATCAGTGGGTCTATGATGAAGTTAAACAAAAATGGGGAAAGTGGACAGCCTTGACGGACACCACTTGAGGTTGCAAAAGTAGATGACAGTTCGCCATAAGCTCTGACTCGACTAGTAGTGTTCGAGTAAAGAGCCTTTACAAGGTTTATGTACTTCTGGGGTACACCTTTCACTGACAGGCACTGCCATAGAATCTCGCGGTCTACAGAGTCAAATGCTGCTTTTAAGTCAAGAAAGACCACCATTGTCGGACTCCGATAAGTATGCCTGTGTTCTAGAACCTGACGAATGGTGAGTATGTGGTCGATGCAGCCATGACCAAGTCTGAAGCCAGCTTGATTCCCTCGTGTTTGCAGTTCACGAGTCTTAGTTAGGCGTCCGATAATTATCGAGGCTAGTTTTTTAGATACTATATTAGTTAAACTAATCCTTCTATGGTTGTCACAGGATGATTTTAACCCTCTTTTATATATTGTGACGATAAGTGATTGTGACCAGTCAGATGGAATAACGTCTGACTCCCAGATCTTAGCTAAAATATTAGTCAACCTAATCGCTAAAATTGGACCACCATCCTTAAAGACCTCTGGAGCCAGTCCATCTGGACCAGCTGCCCTTCCTCGTTTCAGATTAACTATAGCCTTTTGAACTTCTGCTAGAGTTGGGGGACCTACTTCAATGTTCCATTCACACTGTCTGGGAATGGAGGGTAGTTGTAGAGTAGCTGAAGGCCAGTTGAACTTATCTTTGAAATGTTCCGCCCATCGTTCTAAACGTCTGGACTGAGAGCAGATGAGTGTGTCGACATTTTCCGAAATAATCTCACTTACACTTGACTTATGAATTCCAGTTTCTTTTATTATTCTGTAGAGCTGTCTTGTGTTCCCTATAGCAGCCGCCTTTTCCATCTTTGCTTTCGTTGCCCACCACTGCTCACGGTCGTTCCTTAGACTTTTGCTTAACCTAGATCTGATTTGTTGTCGCTCTTCATCGTATCCAAAGCGTGATGAGATGAGTTTACGAGAATCCATCAGTGCAATAGACCTTCAGGAAATCCATTGATTCTTTGTAACCCTGTGGTTTAAATCACTGATAGATGTCACTGCTGTTTCCACAGCTGTTTGCATATCTTTCCAAGCAACATCTGGGTCAGCCTCATTTTCAGAACTACCTAAGTGTGACCTCAGCTATTCCTGGAACCTACTTTTGGTTTTCTCGTTACTCAACTCAGTTCTAATGGGTCTTTTTAATGTGGTTTTTTGCGTCCAGTGAGGCGCAAGCAGATGCGTGCCCGTATTAGGGCGTGGTCGGAGTCCAAGCAGGTACTCCAGAATGAGCGACAATCTTCTACCGAACCTCTCCAACGATGACTGATGGCAATATGTTCTATTTGAGTCCATCGTTGGCTTGGTGTAGGGGGTCGCCATGTTAGACGATGTCTTTCGTTATGCTTAAAATCTGTGTTTGCTAAAAATAAACGATTGTCTGAGCATAACTGCAGCAGACGATCACCATTATCTGTTCGCTGTGTCGGAATACTAAAATATCCACCTAAATGCCTTTCTGTTTGGTTTAAACTGCCTATCTGAGCATTAAAATCACCTGCTACGAGTACTATTTCTGAGTGTTTAGCTTTCTGCAGAAGTTCGGACAGCTTTCTGTAAAATTCATCTTTCACATCATCTGAGCTGCAGTCAGTGGGAGCGTAGACAGAAACGACAAAAAGGCAACGACGTTTGTCCCTATCCTTCCGAGTTCTTACGTAGCCGTTCAGCCGAACAGCACATAGACGACTGTTGACGTGGATCCACTCTAGCAGTGCTTGTTCGGCCCTCATGCTTAGTGCTATGCCTACACCTGCCAGTCCACGAGAACTTGCCATCGGGTCACCAGATACACGAAGGGTGTACCTCGTTGGCTCTCCGTTTTGCCGAGGTGAGGTCAAGTGAATGACCACACTGGAACCCTGTATGCGTGTTTCGGAGACACAGCACACGTCAATGGTAAGAGACTCTAGGGTTTTAGCCAAGGAAGCCTGCTGACCGATTTGACATAGGGTTCGTACGTTGAAGGCTCCAATGTGTAGTTTGGAGCGAGGTTTCAGTAGACCTGGGACAGTGTTTTGAGCTCTAGAATCGTTGGCTATGGTGACACTTGAGGAGGAAGCCGAAAGAGGAAATTTAGAGTTGAAAGCCGATGTAGGAGGAATAATAGGAATTGAAGAGGGAGGTTGATTATGAATACAGTGGTCTTGAGTGCTGTTAGAGGTATGAGGGCGGTTATCACTTCCCGGTTGCCCACACCGTGGAAGGGTTCTTCTGGAGGTACCTGAAAAGGAAATTGATTTAGAGGTGGTCTTAGTGACCTGAGAGCGTGACCGCAGTACCCAAGGGACAACTGCTTGAGGTCGGTCACACACGACCTTTTTATGGGCAATTTTTGTGTTAGCTCCGTACTTGTTGAAACCTTACCGCCAGAGACGGATGTCTGTGGGAGAAGGCGAAGTGTGCATTTTTAGGGTCGACCTTTTCTAACCCCACCCCTCCTTGTGGGAAGGCAGCATCGCTGTCATGCTGGTTGTCTGAAGGAAACACCTTACTGCTGTCACACCTCCGTACAGTCAGCAGTACGACTTCGCCTTCGGACCTTGGGTTTGTTGCTTTTAGTCTTAATGCTCTTCTAACGACCTTTCTGACGTGGTAGGACCTTGAGGAACAGTTGTTCCAGTCAGTATAGCTCAGTTGTTTCATCACGATAGGAAACCCCGACCACCACGTCAAGGTAGCAACAACGGTCGGGAAAGTTATTCCTAATCATCAAATGCATAACAAACATTTTAATTTGTAATAGTGCTCGAACAAAAAAAACTGAGTAAAAAAGCATCAATTTTCCGTCAAACAGGTAAGTATAAAAGGTGTAAAAAGTGAAGAAGTTAAGCATTAATGGTGCAATATGCCGAACTGTAAGCGTACTTTTACAAGCGGAATTCAGATGAACAATCAATAAATTTGCATTGAATCTGATTTACACCAAATAAAAATGAAATGATGTTACAAGTAAAAATTGTTCTCCTATGAATCACTAAACAAAAATATTAATTATGCACTAGTTACTACTGAATATAATGATTATCTAGTCGTTTGCTGCAAGGTCAGTTGTTAATATAGTTATCAATTACGTAGACCTGTGGAAACAATTATTAATGATATTTATAATGTGTTTAACAACAGAAATCTATATATTCAAATAAAATCAGTTAATATGAAAGGTACACATTATAAAATTATTCAATTAACGAGTAGTGTAAAATACAAAATTAGGGAAGATATAATATCAAAAGGGATTTTGTGAAGAATTTTAGAAATCTCAATAATTGAAATCATGAGTCGATTGAAGCTAAACTACCAGTGCTTTCAGGTTTTCCATGGTGGTCTAGCTTCAAATGACTCATGATTTCAACTATTGAAAATATAATACTGAACTGATTATTCAAATTTATAATACATGAATATTATACACGTGAGCTTTCTTTGAAGATTTCTATAATTAAATGATTTTTTTGTAAGATAAACTGATACCAGCTGTAAAATAGCTAACAAATGCACAGTAAATTAACTGTATAAATATGTTATCCTGGTTCAATAAAAGCCAGAAATTACAATACGTACTCATTTTTAAAAACCTGAATTTATTAATGTTACGCATTGACTGATATTTCTTAATGGCACTGTTGATTTTTTGGTATCACACAAACAGAATTGACCTTTTTTCTTGATAAAATGAAGTCAGTAGTCGAAAATCTTATGTTCATGCATTTCACTAATCAATAATAACTAGATATTTAATCCTCTAACTATGGATTGTAATTCCTTAGTGAATGCAAGTGTGTAGATGAGAGCGCACACTTGCATACATAACATAAAGTTAATTGATACAATGTCAATGTTTAACTATATCATATAACAAACGTTACAAAATATTAAATTTTTTTCAATCTATATAATGTGTAAATTTTTCTTGACCATGACAATAGAATTTGTAAACTGAGACAAATAAAGAATTCAGCAAAGAAATACCTAGAGCTGAAAATAATCTACTACTTAGACCAAACATAGTAATTTCATTAAATCATACTTTATAAGTTGATAGATAATAAACATAAAAATTAGATTGTTAAAACTGATTAGAATATGTACAAAACCCTGATCAATTTGTTTTCAGTATAACATTAAAAAAATAGGTTACATTGAAATTATTGTTTCCATTGAACAACCTATTTCAATCGATTTTGTAAAAATCTATTCTATAAAATGTTACAAATTTAGGCTACATAGTTCTTTTCATCAGATATTCGATAAACAAAAAACTGTCCAACGTTAGTATGGATAAATAGAACTAGATATATCTGATTGTTCAGTTAGAATGCACATGTACAAGTAACTTTTTTGAAAAATATTGTACATATTAAGATAAAAACTGATAGTTAATAGTTCAACACCATGAAGTATTTACTGAACAATGATACTTAGTCACGTATTAATTGCTCAACCACTAGTGATCAATATTTTATTATCTTTATTTATTTATTTTAACACATAGATATTGGTACAAGGAAGCACCGAAAACATATGCACCACACAAATCTCATTCGATATGTGTAAGGGCTTTAATACTGCCCAGGTGCCCAAACCGACGTTCACATTACAACGATCAAATTGAACTATCATTAACCTAAGTAAAGTGATATGTTCTATGCAAGATGTTATGTAATTGAAGAAGAGTAGCCGAGGAACTTATGGATTGATAGTCATTTTGCGACTTGGTCGATAGGATTTGATTACTACTAGGGACCAGTGAACTTCAAATAAAGTCTGTTGTGTCCGGAAAAAACTAGTAGCAACGTCTTTGACAAATGGTAACGGGTAGGAAACCTGCAAGGAGTATCAGTTTCCTTAAAATTCGTGATAATCATTTATTGATTAGTGGCAACGAAGTCAAAACTCTGAATCAAAAAATCCTAAATATTACCATAAATCTACCACATTCTATTTTATGAATAAAAATTGGACTGAAGCAACTACAGTATATTTAGTCTAGATTTATCCCACTGTCAAACGAGATACCATTAAGTTGGCACCACTTTATATTTTTCAAAATACAAACAATTATTTTAGCTCATCATTTGTTGTAATTATCGGAGTTGGTTTACAACGGACAGAAGTGAAGTAAGATTTATGGAGATTCGTAATGGTTCAGGGTTCTCATATTTTGAGAGATATCACGGAAAAATCTGTAGAGGAAATTCAGTGGTCCCAGTAGTAGTAGAGAACGAAACAAAAAATAATATTTAACAAATTACAAAAAGAGGGAATGTAACACAAAATAATGTAGGATTGAAGATCTAGAGGAAGATAACGGCTGGCAGAGTCTCCCATAATGTAAACTATTTTGGGTTATAATTCTTTAAGTGTCAAACAGTCGACAATTCTTGTACCACTAGCTTTAACAAGAAAGCTATAACTTACCAGTATACTTCAGATTTGAAACCATTCGAGAAGAAAAATGGAATAGCTAAATTACATTTGAAATCAAGATTATCTCTGAATCGCGATATTCATATTTCACAACAGTGAAGAGCTACACAAACACGAAGCGCATCTACCCATTTCACTGCTTATGATTATACTAGTTATCGAAGTAGACGTGGTTTAAAATTAATATTTAGCAGTTCGGATGAGACTAATGAAGTCGAAAATAAATGAATTTAAATCGTTTTTGAGGAGTGGCACTTTTTAATATACAGAGAGCAGTCTATGTTAACAAAATGAAAATATATATTGTAGAACCCATGAAAAAATCTTACCAAGATTGGTTCAGAACTAAATCGAACTCTCGGTTGTTTGACTAGACTATCACTGCTACCTGAACGTTTATTGACTAATTTCCTTGTAGTTATTGATTTTGGTGAATTAGATGATGAAGATACTGAAAGGATTTTGTCCATATTTGTTTTAACATTTTCTTCATCGTTTACTTGTTCAGCAGTATATGAAGGAGATATTAAGTCGGAAATATTGGTAACATCCTCACGCGAGTCATAAAAATCTGAATCATCTGAATACTTATCAGTTAAGCCAGGAAGAGCGTACAGAAAGTTGCCATCTTCAAAAATATGAACTCCATCGTCATCAACTGTTAAAAGCGAAAAAATGTATTATAAAATTAAAGATAAAGATTACCTATTAAAATATGATAAATTAGATAAAACTCAAACTACAAAAGTAGTATGTAATACAAGAAAAAAGAAATGAGATGGTTTTGGTTGAATCAACGAATTTCCCCCTACACACTATATTGCAGTAAACACAAAGAAACACTACATATACTTAGATATCTGACAGTGAAAAATGACTGATAACAAATATCATAATCGGCCAATCAATATTTCCAGTTCAATGGAATTCATATTGTGTTGTAACGAATCATGATATTTATGGGAAACAGAATCCATGGATACGTTTTGCTTGTAATTAATCAAAAAATAGTAATGTTAAGTAATCATTGTTTATTTGTTGAATATTATACAAATTTCAAACAGGAATGTTGAACTATTCGTCGCATTATAAACTTATAAGTGCATCGTTTATTCGTTAAGTTACTTAAAATGTATCATACAAAAATCTATCATTTGAAGAAAGAACATAAGAAATGGGGAAATCTTTTAAACATCTGATGAAGGAAACGTTTGAATATTTCAACTATATATTAAAGAGAGAGAACTATTTGTAATACATTAAACGAAACATGGATAAACAGAAAGTAGTATTTTAACCCGGGATAAATAAAAATTGTCAGGAATCTTTATTTGTAGTTTTTACTGCTACAAAGCTGAGAGTTTATCTCTATAGTGTGGAAAGTTCAATTACAAAATATGACTGTATTATGTAAAAAGGAACAATTTCATGCTAAAACAAGTTAATGCATTGTGAACTGGATGTAATAACTCTCAGTTTCGATTCTGATATGTAGATATCACAATTCCTTATTCTTCCATAAACCCAGCTACTCCCGTAAGACAGGTTTTATGATAAAGAATTGTTCGGTAGAGATGAAAGAGAGAGGGCATACGAACAAATATATACGCGTAATGCCATTGAAAAAGGATCTTTGATCGCGGTAAAAAAAGATGATTTCTGCCCAGAGATTTGTAGCAACGAATATGAAATTAAAGTCTATAAGGTAAACTACCAAAATAACCAGTGAAATGTTTTATGGGAATTGAAAATTTGCAACATGCAGAGAATTTAAAACAGAGTAGTAAATCAATAAAAATACACAGAATATTCAAACATATATTTTGTCCATAAGAGATAATCTTACTCGTCTTGTAGTGTACAACGTTTAAATTCACACAGTCAGTTATAACTTGAGTGCTGTTAGAGGCATCGTAACCAATGGTTGGAGACATGGTGACATGACTCAGAATCGATCACAATGGCGTCGGTGTATACACTCTTTGTCTTCCCTTAAACTATGAGATTAAAATCACTTCATATCTTTCTTTCTACATACTAGATCTTTCTTCCTATACTATATCCTTATATGGAATCTTTCTCCTATATATTACCACCTTTGACCTAACCACTCCTATGAATCCGGTGTTCATCTTGCTGTGCCAATGAGGTATGGCAACCTGGACCGATGCATGTATGTTCCTGATCCTACGTCGAAGCTGACTGACTGACTGAGTGAGTTATAAACAACGTACAATATGGTACGAACGTGCATAGACCAAACTTATCAGACATCAACATTAGTATATAGCTTAATAAAAACAATGAACAACCAGTGTTTTGTCAGTGAATATTCTTTTCCCATAACAGAGAAGATTATAAATGAAGAGAAATCCACAGTTCACATTACTTAATCAATGTATTACTGTTATTATAGTTCTTACCAGTGAATATATTAAATAGCTTAAAAATGACTATTGTGACAAAAATGTTGGGAGTTAACAAAAAAAGTTTATGTAAATACAGTTATTTGCTTTCAAGATAAAACACTAACTTACATCAATAATATTGTTATGACTTACATTAATATTAAACATATAACAATATATTATTATGTGAACTTATGCATAATGCATTACAATTGCATGACATTTCAGTTGTTTTTTTTTGTAATTGAAACAAAAAGGATTGACTTCAAGCATAGGTTGACATAAAACGAAATGAACAATGAATAATTATATCTTGACGATAATCAAATAAGCATTATATCTGGGAAATCACTAGACAACACATACACACACACACACAACTAAGGATAATAAATGACTTTATTGGAACATCTTGATAAATATAAAATGCACTACTAAAAGAAAAGAATGTTCAATGTTTCAGAGGACAAATGACTTAAGTAAAAAAAAAAAGAGAAAGCAATAGAATTTCGAGTGAAAAGAAAACGACAATAAAATAAAAATGAAGCATTTTATTAAGGATCATATTTCAACAACAACAACAATAACAATAACAACAAAAGTAAATATGATTCATTTTTAACAATAGAAAAATTGAATAGTCGAAAAGTATTTAAGTACAAACAAGGAAACAATAAAAATAAACATGAGACAGTTATTCTTTATAATCATAGTGTACAATATTATTTTCATTATCAATGTGAATAAATAAAATAATTAAATAAATAATGAAAAAATATACAAAATAAATATGGTGAATATTTTAATAAAATTAAATAATACAACACACTGTACAAACACTACTCATAATATGTATATGTTTGTATGACAATAAGAAATATTATGTAAAATGCATCAACTGAATAGTCCATTTATTAATTTACCGAATTAATTATGCATGTTACTATCTACTTATATGATGTTAAATTGATGGTATACACAGTAGGGAGATATGATAAATTCAATTCAAAGTATTTAACGTGAAATGAAAATTAATTAATACTAGTTGGAATAATTACTTAAAATACGAACTATGTATCTGTGATTATTTAAATGTAGTAATAAAATGGGATCAATTTATATGAGTGCCTATATTTCAATCGACATTAGATTAAAAAGGAAAGTGAAGTATTTTTTTGTAATTAAGCAATAATATTTTGCATAATCTTTCAACTTACCAGCCACAACATTCAATCCTTTCGGTACAGGTAAAGTAATCAGTGGATTAAATGATGTATTACACTGAGATGAACTAATAACAATTTCAAAAGAGTTTTCAGTATTGTCAATATTTTCATCTAAGCCATCATCATCATCTTCAGCATTTACTGCAACAGGTTCAGCATGTTGTAGTACAGGAAGATCATCAATGTTATCTTTATATACAATTTCAGGAAATAGAGACTTGTGAAATGCTTCAGGTCGAATAACAAAATCCTACAGAACACAATTAATAAATCGATAATGAAATAAGTGAAAACTAAAGGAACACAGAAATCAAAGCATAATTAGGAATGAAGCTTAATACAATAAAGAAGTCACATAGCACATAGCCGAGAAATCTGGACGATGTATTTAATTATTTGTTAGTAGTGAGAATTAACAAAAACCCTTGATAAATGAACTCACTGTTGGTTTAATAAAGCGAATAAATTAATAATGTACACGACGGTTGTAATCTACAACTAATGTAACTAAATACGTATACCAGAGTGAGAATATGGAAAAGTACAAGGATTTAAAATAATAATAATAATGATGATAACCTATTTTGTTGACTGTATGTATGGGCAAACAATAAATTTCAAACATTCACATATAAAAAATCATCTTGAGTTACGGGGAATAAAACGTATTTAATTTAGATTGTCTGAGATGTTTCTTATTGATCGATTGATTTACGTAGAAATAGACGAATACACGGTTGAGCTACTTACTGCAGCTCCAACAGTAAAGTGACTAGGTCGACGACACAGGTGATTAGAATGAATTCCTCTTTGATTAGTGTTGCAGTCAAATGATATTAAAACAGCTACATAAAGATAGATGATAAAATGTTGTCACTTAGAAAATATTGCTGAAGGAACATAGGGTACAAATACACTTAACTCTCAAATCCCAAAGACTAGTTGTTTTGTAATTTTATAAAAAATCTCAAGATAGTATCAAAACGTTTTATAGAAGAATTGTAATATACAATCCTATTGCTTCATCATTAAAACGTTATTATTATTGATCGTGACTTTTGACAGACCCAACGAATCATTAAGAGAATTTTCGTAATGAATTTTTAACAGTACAAGAATAGACTAATTTTAGAATTCAGCCGTTATGTTTACTTTAGTAAAACACACTTGATTTCTAAAATGCCGTTTGGAATGCTATTAACAGAACATTCAAGAGAAACTTCATCCATACACAAATATGTGCAAAGATAGGGTTTAAAGTGAGAACAAAAAAATTTAAATTATTTAATGCCATACCTGGACATCCGAAGAATTTGATATTGTACATTGATGATCAACAGAAGAATTGCATATGCTGAAACAACAGTAACGAATTAACAAAGAATCATTATATCAAATGTTTTGAAACAAATGATAAATATCATGTAATACGGAACAGATTAAATGAAGATATGGAATCAATGAGCATGAGAGCAATGACTGTTCAGACTAAGTTATGTTACGGAATATGAAATTCCTGTTCGGTGACTGAGAGATAATAGAATAATAGGTAAGTAAATTAACTCATTCATCAGGCAATTGAATATGAGCATGAGAGCTAATGCTACCAGCCAGCTTCCCAAACCGAAGTAGATGGAGCGTGGTTCGAACCCGGAAATTAATGGCCGGAAGTCAAAAGCCTTGACGACTAAACCACCACTCCGCATTTATTTGTAATAATATTCAATAAATATCAATGCATATTACCAAAGCATATTAACAGTTTGTAAAATTATAAAGATGAGAAGTAGCAATTAACAGTAAGATAAAAGGTGGACAAATAAACATTGAATAGCATGATATAATTAAAATTATATATCAGAAGAAGGAAACAAACAGATATCTTTTCAAATACACTAAATTGAAGAGGTGAATCTTTCAAGGTTTTGAAGTCTAAGTAAGTGTACTAGTATGGATAACCGAATTCTGAAGACTGAACAAAACAAACAGTATTTACATATGACGATAATGATAAATTACGAACAGTTAGAAGATTGATTTAAGATTTTTTTATCCACATAAGTATAAGGAAATGTTTACTTCATTTTTGTCTAGTTTAGAGTGGATATAATGAAATCGGAGTACATTTGAAAGATAAATGGGAAACAGAACACTACACAAGTAGGGAAAATCATAAATCCAAAAAAAATGAAGATTCAATAATCTCTTGATAATTGAAAATACAGCATAGCAGCAATGATTCTCATTAGAATAATAATTTGTTAAATAAAGAACCATCTGTTTAAAGGGTCACTTACGAATGAGTTGATTGTGAATTTAAATCTTCGGAGGGTTGATTGGCTGTTTCGTAGGACTGGTGATGAGCTAAAAAAATTTTGAGAATAAACCAGCCATAGAAAATTTGACTGATTCAAGTAAATAATTAGAATAAAAATATTTAAGGATGATTTCCTATCAGTTAACTTATTGAATAGTAATTAGCTTATTAATGCATCATAAAATCATAAAGGCCATTAAACACTATTTCATTGAAGTAGTTATCATATCTGTTTTCATCACAAACTTATTGTAATTTAAACACGAGCCTTAGATCCTATTTTTATGCCGTAAATGCCCTATTGTGACATTTAATGTATTATTTTATTTATTGTGCGTTGTGATTCAACCATTCATATTTATCCATGTACTCTTTAGTGTTAAATAACAATCGGATATAGAGGTCTCTACCGTAAATATCTTTTCTTTTCCCAGACAATGAATAGGATAATTTCACTGCCCTCAATATTATGCTAACTAACCTACAGTATTAACCCCATTAACTAGCTCCAAAGTACATCTCCCTGCATATCTAAGGGTAGAAACAGTGAGGGGATTAAGGCTCGAAGTGATTTAGTTAGATGTAACAGCTAATACTATTATTACTTCCACCGATTGATTTGGTTACATTTATATTTATTTATGACTGATTGTATTCAATCATTTAGTGGATAATTTAAAAGACTTTTAAACTATTCATTTTTAATTTAGCCCATTTTTCATAGTTATGTTCCTAGTGAAGTTGAAGAAAGACTGTATTATTAGGGAAATCTAATACGACAGTAAGAAAAATTCATTACCTGATTTGAATAAATCCAAGTACATTGGTGAACTCTACTAACACTTATTTACAACTGATTGCTAATAAAGATTTTAACAATGATTGGTAACACGATTCATTTAAACTAGCAACATAACCTGCTTAAAGAAACTGGCAAATACTTTATCAGTCAGTCAGTAACAACGTAGAACTTCGTACGTACGTACATCAGTTCGGGTTGCCACACCACATTAGCGCAGAGATGCAGTTGTCGACTCAAATCCCGGAGTGGTAGAGGCGGTAAGAGCATAAGCAGTAATCGGAAAGATTAGGGTTTGAAGATTTTGTTTAAAGAGTATAATCCAGTGAGATAAATTTGGAAAGAGAAAAAAAAGAGACAAGGAGGATTCAGGAGATTAGAATTTGGGTGAAGACAAAGAGTGGATGCACCTGCGCCATTGCAAATACTTTGTAACGTAGTGAATTCACTGAAGTTAGGAATGTGAGTCTGTTACAGATGTCAACTTCATGATCTAACAGTAACGCATATCATGGAAGCCCCAGTGGTTGTAGATTAGAGGCATGGCGAGGTTATAGGTGTGCACTGTTGAGGAAGCCTATGTCTGCGCGAAGCAGCTGTCTGATCCCTATTGGTTTTGATGGTTGTTCAACTAATACCAGTTCATAAGATAAAATATCACTTTAAAAAATGAGTATATACTAATACGTACCATTATTATTTATAGCATTATTTACATCATTTTCAGTCGCCTTCTCAATCTTGTTAGACGAATATAAAGGAGTTATGGAAGCATAAGAAAAACATTCAACGGGATCTTTGGATGTTTGTTGCGGTCCTGCTTTGATAATAGTTACAGGAGTTGAATTTCGAATGGTAGTTGAATTTAACGAACTTCCATTTACTTTGACTGTCGATGGTTGATTATCTATGCTATTACCAACGCTAGTAATCGAATGGCTTAATAAAAAAGAAAAAGGAGGTAAAGAACATTAGGTTTAACGAATAATTACCCGAGTGCTACACATTAGGGAAGAATGCATTAAACAAAAAACCAAACGAGTGAGAATTGTGATCGGTCGATCACTTATTTAACCACTAAAATAATGGGTTGAATGACTGAACTAGTATAAGCAAAATACAAACTGATAAAATGTCTGAACAACAAATATAACATTTGTAATTAAATGGTAAAAATGGGAAGACTTCAAACTGTGATCGGAGTGAATAAGAAATTCTCGTCTGAAATTACGAGGATAACCTTAGTCAATCCAGTTATCACAGAACCTGACAATAATGTGGGTTGACTCGAGATGCCACAACGAGATGAAAATAACAAGACAAATAACAAAAGAGATTGAAATAATTTGGTAGTAATGACAATGAGAAATAATGGATATAGGGAAAATGGTACCAAAAGACGGTTGAAAGGTATGTTTGAAAGAATATTGATATTGAAGATATAGAAAAAGATGAAACATGAATGTATCTGTTTCATTTTATCCAAAATCTTCAGTTACAGATCTCAGTTATCACGCGGATCCCGACCACGTATTTTGCATCCAACAACATAGCTATATCCGAGCGAAGATTAAATCACGAGTAACTCCTGAGACATATTAATTGACTGATATTACCTACATATTCTTATGGTATAATTATTCAATAATTAGATTATGTATATTTATATTCCTCGTATTATAGGCTTTATTTTGACCTATAATTTATCATTGTACGATTTACGGTTCTTAAGCTATGTTCAGTTTATTGACTACTGCCTCCCACGTTCATAGCCACTTTTTGGCTTAATTGTGTACAAATGTTATTTTCTATTTTATGATGCGTTGTGGTTTGTTTGTTTGATATATAAACACAGTATGGTTGGAATATATGATTCGCATATTGGAGGCTGGTATTTAGTGTTCTGGACTCAAGTGGACGGCTAGACAGACATAGGACCAAATAAGACGCTGAGCTGCTCATACCGGTAGAACATCATTGGTTTGGCACAGTGCGAAGATTTTATAAGTCGTGTTTTGATTGGTGGATAGATCACGTGATAAAAGCCGGACAAAGTCATAACAAACACAGCTCAGAGTCATGGTTAATGATTTTATGGACTGGTGTGTTTTGGTTTGGCAGTCCCTAACTTTTTTGAAACATACTTCTAAACCACCAAACATCGGCTGTCGAGGCAGGTGGTGGTCATTGATGACTACCTACATATTCATTAATTCTGTCTACAGAGAATGTCTCAGACAGTGATGCTAAAGTACACGATACTTCAGAATGCAGATAACAGTATACACGTTTCAGAGAAATATAAGTATTAATGTATATGAACATTAGTATCACGGAACATCATAATGAGTGAATATAGCACCAAACAAAAATATGAAAAGGAATTCAACTTCAATGCTGCAATCAGCTGTTTTGTTTAGCGATTTATATCCATTATCTTCAGAGAAGACAGTAGGAGAAAAGCTAGAAAAAATTGACAATGAGAATTTCTTTGGGTATTGTTTCACGAGATTATTTTTTATCTGATGTATCCGGTCCATATTATTATTTATATTACTAAAGCTTTAGTGAGTGTAAATTACATTACAAGCCACATTCATAACACCATACCATTGTGTTATTTAATGATCTTAAAAAAGAGTCTAATAAAGTGGTATAAGTTGTTATAATTTGGTTAAGTGGGAACAAATGAGTTTTAAGTAACTACTTAAGAAAGTTTCGACTCACCGACCCTTTAAATAATATAACAATGTTAAGAAATAAGTCGTAACATGTTACACTTCCAAATGCCCTGGTACAGCCAAGAGTGGGGAGAGTTAGCTCTCCCTCTCGAAATGCTTTCATATGGCCACGCGTATACAGCCACTGCCAAGGAAATCCTACTAACTGCCTCCTCGTGGAGGGGGTGTTGTTTATGAAAGTGAAAGGATGGAAAGCGAGTATCCAGCGCTTTGACCGGGTTTGTGGATATGGAGAATCCACCTGGGGGAGTTGGAAAAACCTGACTCCAAGCCACTGGTGCACGTGGGCTCCAGTATCCTGAAGGAACAAATGGCGTATGAACCTGTTGTTGGTGACCGGCTACGACGGGACTGCGTCTCCTGACGTTGCTCCACTGCCGTGTGAATCAGACCTTTAGGTTGAAGGCTTTGGGTGTGGCATCCTAAGAAAACCACTTGTTTCGGTTTGGGCGCCTTGGAAGTATCCCAACCCTTACACAAACCGAATGATAATGTATGATGCATGTATATTTTGTGCCTCATTGTAACGATGTCTTTAAGTACGTAAATAAATAAAATTATAGTCTGCTCACTGAAACCTTCTAAACTCTGCCCTGGGAGTCAGAAGGTCTTCTTTTAGAAGAACTATGACGCCTCATGATGAAAGCCGAATTCCTTCGGAATTCACGAGGCCGATGCCCCTTCTGACAACCAGAGCGAACATTTATTTAGGTACATGGAATGTTCGTACAATGTGGGACACTGGGAGAGCCTTCCAAATTGCTGCAGAAAGGAGAAAATACAACCTAGAGGTACTTGGGATCAGTGAAACACATTGCACACAAGTTGGACAACAACGACTAACTTCAGGAGAGCTTCTGTTATACTCCGGCCATGAAGAAGAAAATGCTCCACATACACAAGGAGTTGCATTGATGCTGTCTAAACAAGTGCAAAATGCACTTATAGGATGGGAATCTCATGGACCAAGGATCATCAAAGCCTCCTTCAAAACAAAGAAAGAGGGGATTTCAATGAACATCATCCAATTCTATGCGCCTACCAACCACTACAATGAAGAAGCTAAAGATCAATTCTACAATAGGCTGCAGTCAATAGTCGAGAAGTGCCCAACAAAGGACCTGACCATTCTGATGGGAGATTTCAATCCCAAGGTTGGAACGGACAACACTGGATATGAAGACATCATGGGACGACACGGACTGGGAGAAAGAAACGAAAATGGTGAGAGATTTGCAAACCTATGTGCCTTCAATAAACTGGTCATAGGCGGCACCATATTCCCACATAAACGCATACACAAAACCACATGGACTTCACCGGATCACACCACGCAAAACCAATTCGACCATATTTGCATCAACAAAACGCTCAGGAGGACTATAGAGGACGTGAGAACTAAGAGAGGAGCTGATATAGCGTCAGATCATCACTTGCTGGTCGCCAAGATGAAATTGAAACTCAAGAAGCACTGGACAACGGGGCGGACAATATCACAAAAGTTCAATACGGCCTTTCTTCAGGATACTAACAAACTCAACAAATTCAAGATAGTCCTCAGCAATAAGTTCCAGGCCTTTCATGATCTACTCAATGGAGAAGGAACTACTGTGGAGAGCAACTGTAAGGGCATCAAAGAGGCAATCACTTCAACATGTCATGAGGTCCTGGGTCACAAGATGCACCATCACAAGGAATGGATCACTATTGATACACTGGATAAGATTCAAGAAAGGAGGAACAAGAAGGCAGCAATCAATACCAGCCGAACAAGAGCAGAAAAAGCCAAGGCACAAGCTGAATACACAGAAGTAAACAAGCGAATGAAGAGGAGCATCAGAACTGACAAACGCAAATATGTGGAAGATTTAGCAACGACGGCGGAAAAGGCTGCAAGAGAAGAAAACATGAGACAACTGTATGACATAACAAAGAAACTCTCTGGAAATCGCCGCAAACCAGAACGACCAGTGAAAAGCAAGGAAGGGATACAATGGACATCTAGGATGCAGTTGGACGATCTGGACTTCGCAGATGATCTGGCCCTTCTATCCCAAACGCAACAACAAATGCAGGAGAAGACGACCAGTGTAGCAGCAGCCTCAGCAGCAGTAGTAGGTCTCAACATACACAAACGTAAGAGTAGATTCTCCGATACAACACAGAATGCACCAATCGAACCACCGTTGACGGAGAAGATTTGAAAGATGTAAAAACCTTTACATATCTGGGCAGCATCATTGATGGACACCGTGGATCTGATACAGATGTGAAGGCACGGATCGGTAAAGCAAGAGCAGCATATTTACAACTGAGGAAAGTCTGGAACTCAAAGCAACTGTCAACCAACACCAAAGTTACCATTTTCAATACAAATGTCAAGACAGTTCTACTGTATGGGGCAGAAACCTGGAGAACTACGAGAGCCATCATCCAGAAAATGCAGGTGTTTATTAACAGTTGTCTACGCAAAATACTTCAGATCCGTTGGCCGGACACTATTAGCAACAACGTACTGTGGGAGAGAACAAACCAGATCCCAGCGGAGGAAGAAATCAGGAAGAAGCGCTGGAAGTGGACAGGACACACATTGAGGAAAGCACCCAACTGCGTTACAAGACAAGCCCTCACATGCAATTCTCAAGGCTAAAGGAAAAGAGGAAGACCAAACACATTACGACGAGAAATGGAAATAGACATGAGAAAAATGAACAAGAATTGGATGGAACTAGAAAAGAAGGCCCAGGACAGAGTGGGTTGGAGAATGCTGGTCGGCGGACTATGCTTCATTGGGAGTAACAGGCGTAAGTAAGTAAGTAATCACATGTATCTAGCATGAAAACAATCCAGAACAAATAGGAATTTCAAAAGAAAGAAGTTGGTAGTAAATCCTGTTGTACTAACGATCTTTATTGATGATAAATTAGTTTGGCAAATATTAAATCACATTTAACAATTGTTTCCATATTTAAAAACGTTCGGGGCACACATGAATATAAAAACATTTGAACCGATAAAACAGGGAATGGTTAGGTATATACATTGATCTTATGATCTACAGTAAAAATTTTACATATATGTTAAACGCAAATATGGTTGGTGTGAAATATACAAACAATTTAATTGAAAACATACTTGGAAATGTCCACCGGTTCTGTAACGCTATTACAAGATGCATTTTCGGTAGCGATTTTTGAAGAAATCGGTTTTAGTTTCACCTTTAAAAGGCATAATGAACGAGAGTTTGGGTCACAAAAGTAACGAAAGCAATGGCTAATTTAAGCGTTAATCCTTATTGGTGTAGTAATACTTATAAATGATATCCATAAAACAGTATAATTTTGACAAATGCAATTCGCTAGCGTTGTATGAAACTAAAAACAATTAGTCCCTTGTATAAAGTTGAATAAGGTGATGAAAAGTTGTTCTTTAGAAATATGTTAGCCCAATACATTTTGAACCATCTGATCACACACAGTTTTTAAAGCGTATATGAACATAAAAAGTCAACTAGAAAAACTGAAAAGTAAGGGGAAGCAAGGACAATAAGGGACAATGTGAAACACACCGCAATGGACAATAAATCAATCTTACTATGCGTTCAAGGTGAGAGTAAACTTCTTTTTATCAAATAAAGGTTTGGATTTTCATATAATTAAGGGCCCCAAACAGTCGCATATAACCCAGGACACCTATGCAACATAAAAAATGTTAATGTTTATCAACCCTACAACTCGTCCCCATTAAATATTTCGTAATGGTGGAAGTTGTTTGCTTATCCTGTGCTCTAAAATGATCATTGGAATTCATTTGTTTTTGTAGCCCTTATATGAGACATTAAAAACCCGTAAACTACAGATATTTTTGCGGAAAGTATTACTGACGAAGATTCATAATAGTCCCATTTGTAATCGTCATTAAGACACGATTCGAGCACAACCCACCGAAGCATCTCAACCAAGTCATCTAGACCGGACTAGGCTGTAGGCAGTATCACAGCTCACACACAAATAGAATGAAATTTGTGTGGCGCATATATATTCGGTGCCCCCTTGTACCAATGTTTATGTGTTTAAATAAAAATAAAATAAATAATAAAACATTTGTAATTGTGTTTTGACAAAAGCAACTTCTCAAATATTGGCTTATGGCGACAACGTTCTTAACAGGAAAATAGAAGGTAATTTCACACCAGTCAAACTGCACAATATGAAAGAGGACTGATTTAGGCTGTACATATCCTTTACTTTTAAATTATGGTTGGACATACGGACTGAGGTTAGATGAAATTTACACTAGCAGCCCAGGTATTTTTCATTTAAATCTGTAATTAATCTACGAAGATTAAAATCACTTGATATTTTGGTTAGAACGTTATCAATATTTATTGTTCATAAGCAGGTAAAAACATATTGTTTGTTAAAAAACAAACGATATGGCATTCTTACCTCTTCAAGAACGGCAGGTTTAGATAGAGATATATGACGAGGCTTAGGAGGTCTTGTGGGTGGAGATTTAAGGGGAGAAAGTGATTCCGGTATAGAGAAACCTCCATCAACTGATCTGGATGACGTAACACTGTCAAAGGAAAGGTAGACCAACACAATTCAACAGTAATTTATGGTAAAGTTATTTGAGACTTGTGAATATTGTGACAATAATTTGTCTGTTCTACTGGTAAATAAAGGAAGTATCCAAAGGATATTACGGCACTCGACTTCGAAAGAAAAACTGGATAATGGCAAGTGAATTTCAGTGAGCAGACTATAATTTTATTTATTTACGTACTTAAAGGCATCGTTACAATGAGGCACAAAATATACATGCATCATACATTATCATTCGGTTTGTGTAAGGGTTGGGATACTTCCAAGGCGCCCAAACCGAAACAAGTGGTTTTCTTAGGATGCCACACCCAAAGCCTTCAACCTAAAGGTCTGATTCACACGGCAGTGGAGCAACGTCAGGAGACGCAGTCCCGTCGTAGCCGGTCACCAACAACAGGTTCATACGCCATTTGTTCCTTCAGGATACTGGAGCCCACGTGCACCAGTGGCTTGGAGTCAGGTTTTTCCAACTCCCCCAGGTGGATTCTCCATATCCACAAACCCGGTCAAAGCGCTGGATACTCGCTTTCCATCCTTTCACTTTCATAAACAACACCCCCTCCACGAGGAGGCAGTTAGTAGGATTTCCTTGGCAGTGGCTGTATACGCGTGGCCATATGAAAGCATTTCGAGAGGGAGAGCTAACTCTCCCCACTCTTGGCCGTGCCAGGGTAATTGGTGGGGGCAGATCATAATTAATCTAAGAAAATATTAAATTAAGATGGTTACCGTTTTCTGATGGAATTTCAAATGTGCACTAAGATGCTTAAAATATTAAGGAATCAAGCACTCGTTTACTAGAAGAAACTTGTGCCAAAATTCCAGACAATTTCCAATTGTTAACTGTTTCTTTTCGTTGACTGAAAAAATAAATTATGACATTCGTTTATTACAACGGAAAAATTGATCGATAACTACTGAGGTGATTAAACTGGCCACCTCCTCACGGAAGATACTTTCGTATCTCGAACAAATTGATTTCAGAGGACAGGATCACTGATCAACTAATGGATATACTATAGGACTAAAGCTGTCATTGATACACAAATAATTTAGCTAAAATATTGAAATGGTCAATACATAACCAACAACGCCACTATTCAGCTACCATATCTAACAATCTATGATAAACCATAAACCCATAAACATTATGAATAATACACTCATTCGTTAAACTCGTGAGATGGAAAGAGGTTGAAGAACTTACTTATTTTGAGTCGATTCATTCTTGTTTAGACTTATTCGATGATTGCGCAGACTTTTCATAGGTGGGGACCCCGGAAAGGCTCTGAGTAAGGAAATATGGCAAGAAAATCAATATTAAGCGAGATAATTTCTTACTTTATAGGATATTCGCTGAAGACTAAGTAAAGAAACCATATACCTCATACATCAAGCGACTAAAATGAAGTCAGGAGAGTGAATTTACATCATTAAAATTATTTATGAAGCGTGTATAAACTTTTTAATCGTCACCACTAAATTAAATTGAGTGAGAGACTAAGAATTCCAATACAGATAATGTAAAAGAGTGGTATAGTGTCCCCTCTCTGTTGGTCAACAGCTTTTGATCTTCACGTTTAGTCTTTTAGGACTTATTATGGAGGGAATTTTAACTGGGGAGTTTAACGCTACTTCTATAACTTGTATAACAGTGGAGGTTTGGGGAAATATTGCAGTTCTTAGAGAAGTTAGAACAGTACATCCACAGTATACACCACACTACTGAAGTATAATACAATAGTGGGTGCTGATATCGGATGAATAGACAATAAAGTCAAACAGACTGTCAGTAAAGAAGCGCATTGTGTTTACAATAGTGGAGAAGGAAATTTGCGTACTAATACGACTTTTTACTGTTTCACTCAGAGAATGCAAACCTACACATGATCCACCTAATTATTTAGTTTCATACGACCCGCACAAACAAGCCAAGACCCACGAGTGAATAAATAGTAGCTACCCTACCCCTCATACTGACAAGTGATACAATGAACCGTATCAAAAGCTTTTAGGACAAAATGTCCAACAACACATCTCACAAGAACATTCATCAAGTAGTCTGAAAAACCATAGAACCAACCTTGAAAACCTTTCAAAATCAGGGCAGGTGTATGCTGAAAACACTGAACTTTCTACATCAAATCCATCTTCAGTATCGTCGATTGGCTTTACAACACCAGTTTGGAACATATCCCTCAAGCGCGAAACTCTTGAAAGTCTGCGAGGACACATATCTACTTTCGATGCTGTTTCTTCGTTCCCATTTGCAGCATGCAAAGTGTCGCTCAGTACAGACATATCTAGTTTAGTAACTAAATGGACGCTGTCAACACAAGGATATCATCTCACTACAGAGAACTCGAAAACCCGCCAAGAGGCTATTGTTGGATAAGCGACCTTGCTTAGATTAAGCTTCAATTAACAATCTGTTTACATGAAACATACTTGCATGATATTGAGGTAAGTACATATACATAGAACAGCTTCCCTTTTTATGAAAGAATCAAGTGTGGAAAGTCAGCTGTAATTTGTCAGTCAACTAATGTTTGTCATTCTATAAGTTGTCAAACGATCAAGAAATACGGCATACAATCTCTCAAACCTATGACCGACTCTCAGGTCAGTCATTCTGACTGTCAGTCAAACAGAAAACAAACGAATAAGTTCAGTCAATCAAAATTTACTGTGATAAAATTAAGTCCTTACTCCAAAAAGTTAGACCAAATAAACTACAGTAAATGTATGCTTCCTCCTCAAGATACCGACTCTCATTTCCGAATAGACATCTACGGTTCGATACAAACACTTCACGCGTTGTCTGAAAATATTAGCAGGTCTGATTGATGTGGCAAGTCTTTTAACAACTAATCTCATACCAATGTGAAGTCGAATATTAGGTTCACAACTTACTCCGATTAGAAGTCAGTTGATTCGTCGCTCGAGAGGGCAGAATAAACGCGATCGTTCTTAGTGCAGCCTGCTAAAAAGCAACTAGAAAAAACTTCCGTCTAACGAACTTCTGTTTCTAGTAGATATGGATAGCCAATTTCTTCACTAAAGTATTTCGAAATATGAAACTAGCGGAAAAGAGATACAAATAGATTGAAGTGAAATAAACCCAGTTCCTTAAGAGTGTACCAAGTGTCCACATGAAAGACCCTTTGAAAGTTACCTTCACCACGTCGTTCGTCGGCAAATCTTAAAACCTGTCTACTTGTGACTAGTAGGTGTTCCCAGTTCGGAGTGTTGTGTTTCTAAATTTAGGAATTCCTAATAACATCTTCGTCCCTTACTAATGATGAATTATTACCTTATAGTAACAGCGTACAACAGACTCGGTAGGTCGGATCATAGATGGGTATGTGTCACGTGCACCACGAATGCTGAGGTTATGCTGAACAATATCGATCTCTTGAAAGGTACGCGGAATAAGTTGTCAGCAAACTTAAAAAAACCTGTCCTAAAACGGTTATAAAAACAAAGATGCGCAGTGAAAAAAAAGAGGGATATCGACAAAACCATTATTGATGGAGCAACTAATAATTTTAGTGAGGACATTCTGGAACTCAGCACCATCCTAATGTCGATGGTACTAGATTCTCTCAGCAGGCTTGGGTCTCCCAGCACAGAATAATGAATGCAACGGCAGTTCCCAAAAATCTCTGTAGGTGACTGAATCCCGTTAACAAAGCTAAAAAGGACCGGGCGTCACCGTGGTGAAGTCAACTGGTAGTTTGACCGCACAATCTAACCCCGAAATTGTCCAACCGGTTAGCAAAGAACATAGAAATCGAAACGCCCTCTGACATCCAAACAACAAAGTCCTCAACCTGAACGTACTGGAAGACCTGGGAAAACGATTATGGTTTGCGATGATTCTCTCGTAACTATGAATCCTAAAGAACTTCCCCTCAGTTTGCAGGACAAACATGTTCTGAGAAGAGTTAAACAAGAAGCTCAAACTTCCCTAAATAGAGCTTTTGACGGTCACACGGCTTGCTCAGGGAAAAGACTCTAAGCATCAAAATCACCCTAGACTATTTCGTGTAGGACATACTAACGCTACCGACGTAGAGAATATCCAACTGGCTGGCCACTTACTGAAATCAGATGAGAACGTAAGAATACTGCCTGGTAAACCGTATTCTGAGCGCAATCTCATCCGGAGCATCTCTCAGGAATCTGACGAGGAATTTTACCGCAGAAGAAATATCGTTGCGTAAGGTGTACCCGAAAACACAGACCCTGGACAACACACTCTGATATTAGCAAATGGAAATTCATCAAGCAATCCTCAAGGCTCGAAAACATACTGACTTAACATGTGACGAGACTAGCCAAGAAGGACAGCGATTCTAGACCCCGGCTAATGAAGACAATCTCCCCATCCTCTCATACGGCAACTGCAACACTGAAAGCATTTCGTACATACAGACGCAGGTCGCCAGCTGGAATCCATATAAATCCGGATAGGCAGCATGGCGCCATGATCAGGTACAAATGCAGTTGGGGCTGGTCATTCCACTTGTGGACTGTCTTGATAATAAAAAAATGGGAAGGACAGGGACTGCCAACTAGCCAAACCTTGTATGGACAGGCTACCTATCCATTCACATAAGGCTCATACAAACAAACAGGACGAAGAAGCTCACGCATTTCAAAATAAAACCATAAAATACTTATGCATGAACGCCTCGAGTTTACTTAATAAAATGGATTACCTACGTGAACTCAGCAGTGCTGATAATGCTCATCTGACAGGAACGTCTGAAATTTAGATATCTTCTCAGTTTACCTACCGGCGGCTAGCAATACCCGGAATGTCTTTGTTTCACAATGACAGATAAACGGGAACTGGTAGTGTAGTAGCCTTATACTTACGATATTTCCCGGAGGTACATCAAGTGCACATCTAAGAGATTATCAATCTTGATGAATCCGTGAAGTGCCACTTAGAGGTGTCTTGTTGTCATCTACAGGACGACCACTGTTGATAATGAGTATAACAATTGTATACTGGAAGGATTATCCTGCTCTGCTAGTCTTGGATTCACTCCAATCCTGATTCCCGGGGAATTCAATCTTCCATAAGTCAATCTCGCGAAACATACGTATATTGATGATGAAAACGCTACTGAAGCTCGATTCTTCAACCTCGTTTAAAATCTGTAATTATTCGAAAATATGAAGTGGACAATTCGTTAAAGAAACAGTCAGATGCCGTTGCGCTTTGACTGCGTATTTACAAACGAAGAATTCCGAACTGACATCTCTCAACCCTCGCTCCCATGGAGGGAAGTGATCACGCCATCATAGCTTTCAGATTTATCAGAAAAACTAAGCTAATACATCCCCTTAACAACAGGCACCTGGATTTCAAACGGTTGGATGTATCAGTTCCACAGGACAATTTACAGTAGGTGAACTGGGAAGTTCCCTCTCATTTTGATGTGGATGCTCATTATAATTTCCTACCACACACGATTTTATGTGCCACAAAGCATTCTGTTCAGCGAACAGTCCTTAAAATCTACAAGCAACATGCGGTCATCCCGAATCGCCGCAAAAGTTACTGTTGGGCAGAATACAAACGATTTAACAACGGCGCATGCAGGCAATACAAAGAAATAATGAACATATGTACGAAGGCAACAAGAGTAGTTAGGCCTCATTACCAGATAATGCTTATCGATTAATTTGTTCCCAATCCAAAAAGCTTATTCTGTTATGCAGTCTCTCTTTGATAAGCCAAAACTTCAGTTTCCCAATTGTAAGATCCTAATCGCCCGAACGACATAGACGGTAACGCCGCTAATATTCTAGATGAACAGTACTCTCGGACATTTCGACCGACCCAAGCTAAGTATATTGATGAAAGCTTCATCTGCAACTGCACTGGACTTTCCGAAGTGAAACTGCAGCACTTAAAATAGACAATTCATGTCCGGAAACGGTTCATTCTGATATACTGAGGGAAGCAACTTAAATCCTGGCAACGCTGTTTGGTGTAATGTTCTCCTCCTCAACTTTAAGAGTTGTCAAATGCTGGAATTCACTGCCGGCTAAGCTAGTCCAAGCGATTTCCCAGGAGTCCTTTAAGAGGAACCTTGACCTATTCTTAAGGACGAAGGATAATATCTTACTATGATTTACCTATATCTTTTTTCCTATACTATCGTTAATATACCTAGGTTCTTGCCTGGAGGCATTATTGATCCACTGCAATTAGACACGGAAGCCCGTTAAGCGAAAGCTTCTTCTATTCCGTCCACAACTATATAGACAATTTGAACCATTTCATAATTACCACTCAACCCATTGTTACGTAATGTATCGTCTCCTCAGTTTTCGTTAGAATAAAACCTGGATTATACAATCTTGCGCCCTTAAGCTCCGTTATACTACAAAGAGGCAGACTATAAGAAATAAAGTGGTTGTATAGCCTGCCTAAAAATGTTTGAAGTTTGAATACTGAAGTCATAACTACGCTGTCGTGGGCGTGTTCAAATACCTCCCAACAAATACCATATGGCGACCTACTAATCGTTTTTACTCACTCAAAGTGGAAATAACTCATAAGAATGTATTTGTCTGGTTTTTTATTGTAACATGGCTTTACGTAGATTTATATAAGATAATTGACTTACAATTGTCAAAATCTTAATTCAAATATTTATACATCTGTTTGACCAAGTTATTCAAAATCTCTCACACAATATACTACTATTTCTAACAGTTAAGCAGATTTCGAGAATGAACGGCTGAAAAGAGCTTATCTAACATATCCGGAATAGATTTCAAGAATCTCAATATCCTTGTTTTGGCGGACACTTTGTCTGTTTCATGGTAATGGAAAAATAGCCCTGAAACTTCCTTAGGTCGATGAAAATTATCAAAACTGCCAACTGTCGTTGATATCTGTGTAAAATCCCAAAATTCTACAAAAATCGGGAGATTGGGATACTGATGTCTTTGTGGCAAGCTTGTAAATACTACTTGTTTTCCTTGTTCTCTCATCTTGATGTTAGGTAGCTCTTTTTCGAAAAATGATTTTTCGTTGTTGACTTGTCAGCAGTTGGATTTCGCTAGAACTCTTTTTTGTAATATCAAGTCCTAGGACTTGGTTACTTGTCTTCAGTCTAGTGACAAGGCTAGACATTTTGATTTTAAAGTAAAAGGTACATTTTTCACACTCTTTATCTTTCAGTCAGAATTCGCTTAAATCTGTAAAGTTCTGAAGTCATCTTGTGTATCTTGCTCTTTAAAATAGATTCTTCTAACCAGCAATCTACTGACCTAGATTAATTTTTGAGATCAACCTTCACGATCTATTTAATAAAACAAGGGATACATCTAGTTGTGCTTATTGGAAGTGAAAGAATAAGACAAGGTGAAAAGTTTGCCTAGACCAAGTCTCCCAAAAATCAAAGTGCGCTAAAATTACTACGTTTTCGACACCTGTTATAGAATATAATAACTTATTGATACTGAAGAATATAATCTATATTATTTGAAACCCAGTGGTTGATATTACTAACAATGTGTGTAATACCTAACATTTTTTTGATTTAAAAATCAGTGGAATTGCATGCTACGTGGAGTGAAATCTGTTGTCGGTACACCTGGTAAACACCTATGGGAAATATAATTATATACAAAACTGTGCTTTGGAACGTTTTTTTTATGTTTTTAAACCGCGATCATTATATATATATATGCATTAAAACTCTACTGCTTAGATTTATCCCACGTTTTTAAATGTGCAGATATATGGATAAACCATATGACGAAACAGTTGATGTGCCAGATTCAGAAGATATAGCAACACCACGACTGCAACAGTCTCTTGCTGAAAATTTTGATAGGTTTCGAGGTAATTTTTGACTTTTTATGGACGTATTTTGTTTTGAGATAAATTGCCTGTTGTTACTTGGCTTGTTTAGTAAATACATGAACTGGGTTGGTAAGATTTTGGCAGAACATAAAACAACTTGAAGGAAAACGATGAAAAGTTGAGTAATGTCGAGAGATATATCTAGCTGAAAAATAACTCTTTGCGAGTTAATCAGGGGCCTAATTGAAGACTGTGCAGGCCTCTTGAATAATGCAACCATAGAACAACCGTTACGCCAACGTTTTGATGGGAGTATCAAGAACATTAGACCATTTTTGCTTATCGACTACTAGTTAACTGTCAATATGATTAGTGATGAAACGAATTTAGGGAAAGGATTTGAAGGAACAAGACAGCTAGAACCCCTAACTTCCTGCTGCTCTCAAAGGTGTTTTAAACAATGAAACTGGAGATAAGGCAGGCGTGATAACACGAATCGGCATTATTTTGATAAAGATAAGACCTGTCAATTTTCGCCTTTATAAAATATATTTTCTGTGGTCATATCTTGTTTGCTAACCAAATACAGTCTTAAATGCACTCAGTTTAATCCCAGGAAAGTTCCAATATATAGAAAGTAGGGTGAAATAATCATCAGTCAATTCTTAGGTTCTGTTTTATTGTTTGCTGATTCAGGACCAGGAAGAATTTTTTAAATCTTTTTATATGAAAATATACTTACAGTATGTTTTGATTATAAAATAATATATCTATAGAACCATAGACTTTAAACGATAAATACTGAGAACATCTTGTTTTCGTCTTTAGACGAGGCTATTTCAGAGTTAAAAATTATTCCTTGTCTAAAAAAATTATACTGGACTTACCATGAAAGTTTTATGAGGTAAATATTTAGGATGATCTCAGAAATATAAAACGTCTTAGGATTTCAAAGCCTAAGAAACTTGTTAAAGGAAGTATGCCTCAGCAGTAGTAAAAGTAAGGGATCATAGTTTGAATATTGAAAAAATAATTTCAGTTCAAAACTGCCAAAAACCAATAGCAGTGTGGTAAGTTTCGCATGTGGACTTTAAGAAATACCACCATTTTCAAGAGGTACTTTGGCGAACATAGAGAATGAAAGATAACGTCTTATCTAACGACTTTCAATCAAGTGAAACAATATCGTGTTATATGTTCAAGCGAAAATCGATTGTTAGTTAAAATCACGATATATATATATATATAGAAAACAGTATATCCACTCTTTTGCTTCCTGTTTGCTTAGTATTAATATTTGAAAGAATATTTATGATGAATAATAAGTTTGATAAATTGGATTTCGACTCAATGCCTAAATGAGAATATATAAGCCATGCATTCTAGAAGCTTCGTAAGGGTTTCTTTACATAGATTATTGTTATTATTACATACTAGGAGAGAACATCTCTGAAGAATTCAGTCTCACAATATTTGATTTTTATGATACGTTTTGACAAAACCTATTTTCTGGTGAATTCAATTGTGATATTTTAGCCTTTATGAAGTAAACGATCATATTTGTTATATAACGAGAATGCTAGAAGACCGTTAAAAACTGAGGTAGACTGAATGACTATTTCGTTCTTGCGTGAAATTCTTGAGAAACGGACACCTACAACGTGGGTCCTGGATTCAACCTCATGTGGAATCAGTTAATCAAGTCACTGACTATTGATGTAAGCCATGTTGGTAGACCCAGACCATCGTAACTAGGGACCGGGGATAACAATTAAAATGGTTTAAAACTGGTGACAGTGGTACAAATGAATAATGTTTTTGTCTTTCTCTAGGTCATGAGTTCTAAAAATATTTTGTCCGTTATATTCTGGAGTTTCCTTAAACATATCTTCCACGCCTAATATCGTTTTTAGTATCACGCTAACGCTACTGCTATTTATACTACTTTGGCATTCATTTTGATGATTTCGACTCGTGATGATACAGTGTAGCGGCGTGAATTGATGGACGTTTGTGCTAGGTCCCACTTTGCTTGTGATTGACTGACTGATATTTTGGACATATATTCTTGGGATGTTTAAATTTAGGATGAGCCTGCCGTCCAACTCCCTATAGTCGCCATCTGTTCTTGAACAACGGTTTTATGTGCAAATCATCTTCCTGTTATGATGAATTCTCACAAATTCTCCTAAATAAAAATGTTGATATTATTTACCTTATGAAATGAAATACTGAAACTATACCATGCCAACAACCATGGGAGACGTTGAAAGTGACCTAGGGAACTTTATGCTCCGTTATTGCCGTAAAAATAAAAAGAATCCGTAGCTAAAATATGATAGAATCTGGATATATATTGTAGCTTACAATCGTTTTCCTGTATCTTTAAAATCAGTTTTGCTGAGACATTCAAGCGTTCAAGAAATTAATTTATCTTTAAATACTTCTTCAGATCATAAGTAGTCTCTTATATGTTTTCTCACATTTTCCTGAGTGATTGTGGACGGAATTCCGGAAAAGTTAACGAAATGACACCATGAAACAAAATCACACAGTGACTTTGTAAAATATGAAAATCATGAATTAAATACATCATTCACATATCTTCCCTCAGTTGTCCTTCATACACTTCGTCATTCTCCCTATCCTGTTGTTATTTTGATTGATTTTCGTTTTCCTTCCTATTGTCTTATTTTCCATATATCCATCATATGGAGTATAAGATAAACATAATTTTCATTTTACACTATATCGTAGTATAATAAACTCTCCTCAGTTCTAAACATTCCAATCACTTCATAATTGACACCTTTAATCACTACAATCTATTCGCTTAATTTGTTTTTTGTTTTTGTTGCTCTTTTTATCTAGTTGATCATTTAGATTCTCACAGAGATAACAGTAAATCAGTAAGAAAAATAAAGAATGAATTACTAAATAAATCAATTAAAGTAAGCCATGCCACTTTCCTTTTTTATCTATTCTTTCACTTTAATTTGATGAAAAGATGTATTTTTTTAAGTAGACATTAATTGCTTTACATTATTATTCTACGAGTAAAAACATGTTTAACATTGTTTAATCATATTTGCTTATAGACTATAATTGTTCTGTAGAGGTTTCTTGTAGTCTATAGTCAATTTTCACCTACTCAGCCGAAAAATTGGTAAAAAAGCGAATATCGTACAGTCGTTTCATGGATTGAGTAGTAATTAGCCTAGAGATAAACTTTCATCAAGATCTAATAATAAAATATGACCTGTCGTAAGGAATTAAATCAGGAATAAAATAATATTCCATAAATGTCTTTAGGTGAGAGTTACTTCTTGTTACAAAACTATAGGATACCGAAAAGGTCAGTAACTCAAGTGTATCATACCAGTTGCGTTTACTTCTCTAGGCTGAATAGTTTAACCATTTTTGTTCTGTATAGCACCATTAGAGCCTAATTCCAACTCAACTGTCTATTGGCGTAACGTGTACAACGACACTTAGTGGCTCATAGTTCTACCTTGTAGAGGATCATGAGCACATAATGCCTAAAAGTTCAGAACTAGAACAAAACACCTACTAATTACTACTACATTTTTGAAGGTTCTACGTCTGATATTATTCTGTGATCCGAACTAATTTCAAATCATTCTTGTTAGTACTAAAGTCTAACATTTTATCTCGCTTTTTTTTTCTAACCTTATTAGACTGCACCAAAATCAGTCATTGAAAAGAAGTCAAACAATGAAAAATTAAGTAGTCAAGGTTGGTTTATTTTTCATATATCACTGATTTTTTTTATTAATTGAAATAATGAATAAAGATGGAGCAAATGTAATGTTAACTAACGAATAATGAACTAACAATAATTAAAATATAACATTGTTATTTTGACAATTCAACCAAGGAATTTAAGAATCTTATTTGATTCACTAAGTTTTATTACTGTTTTATCATCATAAAGAAATGAAAGTATAAAATCTGTGTCATTATTTTCACATATTAAGTACTCTGATTGTTCATATGACAGATATATAAATAAAATAGATTTAGATATGAATATTAATTGATTGAGGATTCCTTAAGGGTCGATCGTGTGCAGACCGAATCGCAACACTACGAATTATTGTGGAACAATCAATTGAACGGAATTCATCACTCTATATCAACTTCATTGACTATGAGAAAGCATTTTACAGCGTGAACAGGACTGCACTATGGGGGCTTCTTCGACACTACGGCGTACGTGAGAAGATGGTCAATATCATACGGAATTCCTATGATGGATTACACGGCAAAATCGTGCATGCAGGACATGTTACAGACTCGTTCGAAGCAAAGACCGGTGTCAGGCAAGGTTGCTTACTCTCACCCTTTCTCTTTCTCCTGGTGATCGACTGGATCGTGAAGCCGTCAACATCTGAAGGGAAGCACGGGATACAATGGACATCTAGGATGCAGTTGGACGATCTGGACTTCGCAGATGATCTGGCTCTTCTTTCGCACACGTAACAAAAAATGCAGGAGAAGACGACCAGTGTAGCAGCAGCCTCAGCAGCAGTAGTAGGTCTCAACATACACAAAGGTAAGAGAAGATTCTCGGATACAACACAGCATGCACCAATCGAACCACCGTTGACGGAGAAGATTTGAAAGATGTAAAAACCTTCACATATCTGGGCAGCATCATTGATGGACACCGTGGATCTGATACAGATGTGAAGGCACGGATCGGTAAAGCAAGAGCAGCATATTTACAACTGAGGAAAGTCTGGAACTCAAAGCAACTGTCAACCAACACCAAAGTCACCATTTTCAATACAAATGTCAAGACAGTTCTACTGTATGGGGCAGAAACCTGGAGAACTACGAGAGCCATCATCCAGAAAATGCAGGTGTTTATTAACAGTTGTCTACGCAAAATACTTCAGATCCGTTGGCCGGACACTATTAGCAACAACGTACTGTGGGAGAGAACAAACCAGATCCCAGCGGAGGAAGAAATCAAGAAGAAGCGCTGGAAGTGGATAGGACACACATTGAGGAAAGCCCTCACATGAAATCCTCAAGGCCAAAAAAAGAGGAAGATCAAAGGACACATTACGCTGGGAAATGGAGATAGACACGAGAAAAATGAACAAGAATTGGATAGAACTGGGAAGGAAGGCCCATGACAGAGTGGGTTGGAGAATGCTGATCGGCGGCCTATGCTCTATTGGGAGTAACATGCGTAAGTAAGTAAGTAATTGGTTAAATAATCATTAGATTATTTATATCTTCCAGTTTTGTTGATAATAAATTGCTTGTAGAACATACAAAGATGATAGCTAGTTAGTTAAATGCTCAATTTTTCATAGTTTGGTTTTCATTTGAATTAAGTCATTTGTGTAGGTAACATGTAAAATAAAATATGCATTTTTAATCTTTACAACAACTTCGTATTATTCTTAGTAAAGTTAATACAAGATGAACAGCGAAGTCATTGATTGATTAAGAAGTATGGGTAAATTTTTGTGGTAAACTTAAATTTGTAAAATAAATTGTAATCCAATTACTAAAATAAACACTTTTCATCGTAGTTTTAATTTTATTTTTATTGTTTTTAGATAGTTCCGGCGATGACGATGATGAGGATGAGGATGATGATGATGACGATGATGAGGATGAAGATGATGAAGATGACGATGATGAAAATTCTAATATCCCTGATGTCATTGAAGGGTATGTCAAATTTACAAAACAGAGAACATTCTATTAGGGATTTATTTATTCTATGTAAGTATCGATAGTCTGTAGGTTTCCTTCGTTTACTGAAATATTAATAAACTTTTGAAAAGCAAAAAAGAAATTAAATCAAAGTGCAATATTACACTATAAAAACAACTGATTATTAGTTTCCCTTCGCTAAATATCACTTTAAATAGGAAACAAAGTAGACGGTTGAAGATTTAAATTTGAATAACTGAAAACTGATTATAACTGATAGATGACTTAGTGGTTAAGACCTTCGGTTTAAAACCATTAAGTTGATAGTTTAAATCATACTCCACCTACTTCGGTTTAAACACCTAAGCAGTATCACTAACCTTCACACGACGAGTGATTCAAAGCCAAGTGCACGAATCTATACTTGATAAGTTGCATTGTCATCAACCTCATTGAATGTGACACTTGTTTATTAGTATTCATATATTTTACTGTTATTTTCTGTTTTTATAAAACGTCGGGAACGTTGGATCCATACACTATCACACAAAGTTCTATGTACTTACACTCGTCTACTCATTCGCTAACTGAATATGTCAACCAACCAGTCAGTTTATTAGTCAACCATCCAACCTGTGCCGGATGAAATATGACAACCGAAAAAAATCTTCTTTGTTTTAAAAACAAACTGAGATTATCATCCTTTATTAGAATGAAATGCTAACGAACACTTGGCAAATTTCAATGGTAAAACTATGCCAAAAAATTTTTATAGACGAAATCTGTAGTGAACGAGAACACAAGTGGGGACAATCGAATGTATTTGAAGTCACAATTACAGAATATCTTAGTAAAATATGAGAACCACACAGCAAATTTTGCATTTGCAAAATGTCAATCAATCGTCTCGGACTTGATTGTTCTTTCGTTTCCACACCAATCACTCTCTGTTGTTGTTCTCTTTTCTTCGATCGTCTTAGCCTTATGCCTCCAGGCATTCCACTTTCGATTGCTGATACATACTACTTATATCTGTCGACATCAGTAGCACACACCACATGATTACTCACTGGACGCTAATTTTCTGTTACATAATGATAATAGCTAAATTGGAAATGTCAAGAACTAAAGAAATTTTGTGTTTTCGTCATGAAAGCGAGGTAATGGTTGTACGAAGAAATATCTTCTGAGCGATTTCGTATTTTCATATGTAGAATAAAATTTCCAAAATATTTAGAAAATAAGTAATATTTATTTGTATGGATTTGTATTTTCACGTTGTTAATATTACGGACTACAGCTGATCCGTCTCCATTGTCATGTATTCATTCTGAGCGTTTTTCCTAGATAATGTTATTTAATCACATGTTCAATAACAGTGTACAATGGAATCCAAGGTGTCCGTTTCGTCTTACGTGGGACTTGATACTAGTACCTTTCTTTTTCAACTCTAACATCTCATCAACTGAGCTATTGAGTTCAAATAATAAAATTTGTTTCATTCTTTTAAACATGATGTTTAACCAAAATGTGACTTCATAATAGTGGGCAATATCAAAATAAACGGAATTTCAAACGACAAATTCAACTTCATTCTAGAACTTTTGTAGTTATTTGCATAAAAGAGCGAAAAAACCCATGTATTACTACTTACTAAACAGTTATGAGTATATGCTAGTAATAACTGAAGTTGACAAGAATTTTCTCCAGACCAAATATTTTCATCGTTCTTTTCAGTGTCTACAATCCGGCTGATTATGAACATTTGACTGTATCGTCTGAAATTAAGGAAATTTTTGAATATATTCAAAGGTAACTTCGTACACATAAATATATAAATAAATATTCGGCGAGACTATAATTTATGGACGAACCAATCACGCATAAGATATAAGGTCTCCGATTTTGGCGTGAAATTCACTCATCAATTTGGATAGATTTTTGGCATTATAGCTGATGTCAGTTCGTGATGAAAACGCCAAATCTAATTCCTAAGCTTAATCATCAACTGCAAATTGTAATTCTAATTCCTCACACAGGTTCATAACCCTAATTTCGTCCTGGTTAATAAGTGGACACTCTCAAGTTCAGTCTAGCGTCGATCAAAGGTCGTCCATAAATTATAGTCTCAGCAAATATTCCTTTATAAAATAATTACATTAATCTAAATGTATATTTTTTTTTCAATCTTCTTAATAATGAAATTCTTTCGTTATATCTCAATGAGGAGAAAAATTGTATGTACTCTGAAGAATTGACTTATATTAAGTCACGAAACGTCAGAAATAAAATTTTTCTACTCAATGAGATAAAACAAAACAATTTAAATTATCTGAAATTATCAAGTTCAACCTTAGGATTACGGACTACAGCTGATCAGTCTCCATTGACATGTAATCATTCTGAGCGGATTCCCTAGATAATGTTATTTAGTCACATGCTGAGTAACGGTATACAGTGGAATCCACGGTGTGCCGGGGGTGTTGTTTACGAAATTGAAAGTTAGAAAAGCGAATATCCTGCGCTTTAACCGGGTTGGTGGACACGGAGAATCCACCTAGGGGAGTTGGAAAACCCTGATTCCAGACCAATGGTGCGCATGGGCTCCAGGATTCTGAAAGAAACAAATAGCGTATGAACCTGTTGTTGGTGTCCGGCTACGATGGGACTGCATCTCCTGACGTTGCTCCTTTGCCTTGTGGACTAGATCTTTAGGTCAAAGGCTTCGGGTGTAGCCCCCTAAGAACACCACATGCTTCGGTTTGGCACCCGGGCAGTATCACAGCCATCACAAAAATCAGATGATTAATGTGGTGCATGTATATTTGGTGCCTCCTTGTACCAATGTTTATGTGTTTAAATAAATAAAATAAATAAAACTTTAACACTGATACCTGTAAGCTTTTATTTTTTTGTTTTTTCTTAAACTTAGATATACACCTCAAACAATCGAATTAGAAACAAAGTTGAAACCATTCATTCCTGATTATATACCAGCTGTTGGAGATATTGATGCATTTTTAAAAGTTAGTTGTTGTTCTCAAACAATATTTCAGATAAATCTTGTTACTAAAATAATTTATAATTCTCATAGCAGATAAGTGGATAGTTTAAACTAATTTTATAATTCTAACTGAAATATCTTTCATTCAGATTACTTATGTTATAATAATGCGTAAGGAGATTGTGTGTGAAAATACAGCAAGAGTTGGTTATTTTCATCAATATGTACCCTAGTGAATACAATGACCAAATGATGATTACTGCCAAATGTCGAATTGATGATATAAGATTACCGAATGAGTAAATATCTGAAGATAATAATTGTTAAACAAATTATTGCTTTATATTTATTTTTCTTTTATGGAGTAGATTCAAGCAGTTACTGTTGAACAAATAAATTCTTACATAATACAGAATTGACTTGATAATGAATATCAACCAGAATAAAATTTTGTTCTCCCTACCGATTAATTTTTAGCCATCTAAGGTATTAAACTTCTTTATTGGTTTTTACGACATGGACTACCATTAAGCGTATAAATGTGACATTGTGTTATTGTACAATGTTCATAATATCTTTGAAGCTCTATTTATGCAATGAAAAGTAAACTCCATATGGCAAATCTTTCAGCTTCATTTGTTTTTATTGCATGCATAATCAAATTCATAATTCTATGTTTTTAAATAGTTTGTTTAAAAATGTATGAATACATTGCAGAAACAGCGTACATTTTGACTTCGTCTATTTAGATCATTTAAAAATCTATTAGCGGATAATTCAAATGGTTTTGATAAATTTCTATCAACTGTAAATTATTTTTTAATATCTTAACTGATGTTTTCAAATATACATTTTAATTCTACCGAAATAGGTGCCCAGACCAGATGGTAAACCAGATTATTTAGGTTTATTGGTCTTGGATGAACCATGTGCTAGTCAGTCAGATCCAACAATACTTAATTTACAATTGAGAGCTTTGTCAAAGCAAACTGCAACAAAACAAGTAGTAAGTTCTGTGTATTTTTTTAGTCAAATAATTTCATTGAATTATGATATATCCCAACGAGAATAATAAATGGTAACTTGTGATCTATTTATGAACTAAAACAAAACATATATTTTTGTTGTATAATTGTTAAGCAGCTAACCTATGCGTATTAATGTTCCTCTTATTATGAGCTTTATTTTGACCCATAGACTATTATTATACGATTCATTTTACTCAAGTTATGCCCAGTTTATTAATTACAGTCTCCCACAATCACAGCCACTTTTGGCTAGATCTTGCACAAATGTTGGTTTCTATTATATGATGCGATGTATTCTGTTTGGTTTGTATATAAACCCAATATATTTGAAATAAATGATTCATATCACGGAGACTGAGACTGGTGTTCTGAACTCAACAAGCAGGGTTAGGTGAAAAGTACCGATAAGGACTCTAGATTGCTCGTACGGGTTTATACGACATTGGTCCGGTAGATAAGTCACTGTTCTCTAATCGGTGGTATCATTACGTAATATATTTTCTTGATATTCGGATTTTAAACCAATTACCCATAGAGCTATTGTTTAATATTTAATTTATCATTTACTTATGGGCTTTTTGGAGGTTGCAATGGTTTGAAAATAGTTTTTAAAATAAATTAGAATATCAATACGGGGGTAGTGGAAATTTTTGAGTTGTACTAAGATCATAGATTGATTTAAGTTAGACAACTATTGAAAATCTGAAAAAATCAGACGGCTGTCTCATCCTAGTATAATATTATATTGGTTCGAACCCAATACCTTTGAATCTCCAGAGAACATGAGATCTTCGGCTAAGAATTGAGAACTTTATAACTTATGTTTTTCCAACTTCTAATAATTCATTTCACATTATCGGTAATGAAGTTTATGATTGTCATCATGAATAAATATGTCGGTTTTCAAGACTAACTCACTGAAATTACTAAGATGTTTTATGACCATGAATCTAACATCATTGTTCGCCGATACTCCACTCAGGTAGAATGTTGAATCTATCTGTGAACAACTTACAGAAGAGGGAATAGAGACTACAATCCATATGGATATCGTCAAGAAAGTATTAATAAAATGTTTTTGGTGGAGTTTTATTCTCTGAGCTTCAGTTTGTGCTGATGATGTCGTTCGGAAGAACGATGAAAGCTCCACGACCAAACCATCCAGCTCAGAGAACAAAACTCCACCAAAATCATCCACCTGAGCTACAAATCTTCTCCACCATCTCAAAATTATTAAAATGTACTACGAACATTAACTTCATATTCGATGGCGAAATATTTAGACTAATAAATGGTGTTGCGATAGGCTCACCACTAAGTCCCATGTTAGCTGACATTTTTATCACCAAACTAGAAAACGGTCCATTAACACAGGATACTGACAAGTCTTCTTTTAACTGTTGATATATAGACGATAATTTCATCCTTTTTAACCACCATACTAGCCGGATGAAGATACTCCAGAGATTTGATGAAATTCATCCGTCTATTAAATCCACATGTGAGGAAGAAAACAGAGGTAGAATAACTTTTCTAAATGTATTACTTACGAAAAGAATAGATCGGTCACTAAGACGAAACTTAAACGAGAAAACCACTTGGGTTGGCCAATATCAGTCAGTCAGTCAGCTACAACGTAGGACCAGGCACATATATGCATCGGTCCAAGTTGCCATACCTCATTAACACAACAAGATGGACACCGGATTCATAAAAGTAATTAATTCAGAGGTGGAATATAAATAAGAAAGATTGCAATAAGTATGTAGTACAGGAAGAAATAATTAGTTCGTAGAAAGAAAGATATGAAGCGATTTTAATCTCTTAGTTTAAGGGAAGACAGAGAGTGTATACACCGACGCCATTGGGATCGATTCTGAGTCATGTCACACAGTCTCAAACCATTGGTTACGATAGTCACGCGGACCCCAATCAAGTAGTCTGCATCTACCAACATGGCTCAGACTAGAAGTTAGTGACTTCAAGTACTGATGCCACGTTTTGGTTTGATCGCCTCTAACTTTCTTCCAACCATTTCCAACACCAGTTAGCATTGCACGTCGTGGTAATCGGTGTTCGGGCATACGTAACACGTGGCCCAACCATTTCAGTCGATGAAGATTCACAACCTCATCGACTGATTTACCATCATTCCCTAATACCCTGCGTCTAACCTCCCTATTACTTACCCGGTGATCCTTAGTTGTATTCCACTACAATATAAAAGGAACCTGGTTAAAACACTTTATTATAGAATCGAGACTATATACTCCCTAGATGTGGCCGAAGAAGAATCAAATGCATTGTATACTAAGAAATATTGTTATATTATGGTATTACTAAATATGAATATATTCATAACATCCATAAAAACACAGAGCAGTAAATCAACTTAGTGAAATATTAAGAAAAAGCAATAAGACAATTGCATTTTTATTGACAATAGAAACAAAGGATATACAGTATGAAAAGAGCAAACAATTGTGAATTGGTAGATATCCTTATCCTTTTTCTGAGTCTTCAGTTATCTTATAGGGTTAATGAATGTTTTTGTGGGGTAGTGCTTAAATTAACGTTTTAATTTATAACGAAATCTCAGTAACATTTAAAATTGGTAGAGTAATAAGCAATTTTTTTTCAGTTTACTTTAAGAAAACAAGAAACCATGAGTTGTAGTTTTAGTTGATTGTTCTTATTTTTTTTTTAAAAAAAAAATACAAATTTTAGATAGTTAAAAGTATTGAAAACGCTGAACAACAAACAAAAGTCATAGAAAATTGGATTAAAAGTATAACAGAGTTGTATAGAGCCAAACCTGCACCAACTGTACACTATACAAGGTGAGTAGATTACATATACATAATAGTTCACTTACAGCAAAATAATGTAAAACTTTAAGCCAATAACTTGCTGACTAGTGTAAATGTGCACTGCTGAGGAGTCCCATACTAGGAAGAATAGGTTATCCATTGCTTACGAATTTCCAATGATGGTATAATATTGATTGGTTCATGATCTCAATTTAAACTGAACAATCTCCAATAAATAGTTACTACACTGTAGCTTTGTCGATAGAGTACACTTATAGTGATATCGTAGAGCACAAAACACGGGTGGGAACAACCCAATGTATTTAACACAAAATTACTGAACATGTTAATAAAATCTAACAATCATATGGTAAATGCTCAATTTGCAAAATGACCACCAATTGTCTCAAAATGGCCGAAACTTCATTGTTCTTGTATTCTCATACAAATTGCATCCTGTTTCCATTCTTTACTGTTCGGTCCTCCTGTCTCTCTGCTGCCAGACCTTCTGTTCACGACTAACATCATATGCTACTTATGTCAATATAAGTACCACACACCACAATATGGACTAAACCAACATGAGATTGATTACTACTTGAAGAAAAACCAATGAAGACCTGGAACGGTATATAGGTAGCTATCTGATTATTTAATGAATCAGTGTTGCCATATTTTAGTTGGTAGATAGAAAAGTATATCAAATTCAATTTCCCGTTTTATGTTAATGAAATTTATACATAGTTCACATCATTGAGTGAATAGAAGTAGGTAACCATTGAAAATCAGGAAATATTGGACAGATGTTTCTTTCTTGTATGAGAATCTTCAGCGGTGCATATCCACAACCCTATCAAGAGTTGACGCTAGGAACTGCCAGTCTTGTACCAAGCGCTTGACTTTAAGACTGGTGAGTTAGCATTCAGTGATTTGTATTTAAAACCAGTTGATTCACTGTATTACGCAACTATCACTCAATCCCATTGTCAGGTAACTGAATAATATCTAACGTAGTTTAACTTTAGTGATTGCGACTTATCAGTAGGTTTCCTGAAATTACCTTCCGAAATCAGTCACTAGTGAGCACAAGATTACTGTTGGTAACATGTCACATTTATTAATTAATTCCAGTCGATAAGAGGTAAACTAGTAATAGGTTTAATTAAGATCCTGTTTAATAATCAACTCTTTACCTTTCCACAGTTATGTTAAGTTTCAGCAATAAGTTCTTACGATAATGAGATAACATTGAAATCATATTATTTTTAGGTCTGTCAGAAGCTAATCTTTCATTAACTGATTGGCAAATGTTATATTGATATTATTCTTAGATATATATATAATGGATGCGCTCACAACATAATATTCATTGGTTTGTTTAAATTAAATCCAACATTGTTTTTAAAAGAAATTGATTTATTCCCAATTTTACAGAAACATGCCAGAAATATCTGAACTTATGGCTGTATGGCCAACATCTTTTGAAGAAGCCATAAATAATATGCAATTATCACTATCTGAGTTGGATTGTAGTTTAAAAGATTATGTAGATATAATCTGTGGTATGTGTAACAAAATTATGAATCATGATCTTATGTTATACATTTCATGTGAAATTTCTCTAATCTGTTGTTAATTAATGGTTTTCATACAACCATAATACTACATGTAAAATTCATTGTCACTTATAAATGAACGAACAGAATATTGTGGAATGTATAATATAACTGTATCGGTTGAAATTATGCAATTATGAGTGAATTAAAGCTAGACCACCATGAAAATACCTGGTCTAGCTTTGATTCACTCATGATCTTGTAGCGTGGAGTCGAGTTGGGATTAACTATGAACACCGCTATCAATAAACACGTGCAAATAAATCAGAAGGCGAGGGTTGAACGTAACCAAATAAATCCATAAAATCCCCGAGAAGCCAAATATCAGAAGGCAGTTAACGGACCAAGTCGAGATACATTTGCTGGTGATCTAGTGGTATCGAAAGGATACCGAGATCGTGCCAGGATACAAGCTTGGTTACAGAACGTAACCGAATTCGCGCGAAGTCACAATCAAAGTGTAAGAATCAGAATGGAAGCACAATATAGCTGTCATTAGCACAGTCAAACAAAAGCACATTAAAACAAGCACTGGTACAGTTGGTTATAATAATAATTGTTTTTATTAAACCAGTCATGTTCTCGTGATAAATGTGAGTCACTACAATCACAACCATTGAAATTACTATAATATCCACAAAAACCATTCTCTAAATATATAAAGATTCTAAGTATTAGACAAAGGAATATGTATAGAGAAACAATATGTTGAAGAGTTTAAGGAAAGATTTATTTAATTTGAGCTGTTCAGTCTTTAATAGATTAAGAGTTACAGTTAAGTTGAACACATTGTCTTACAAAGCTTATAAAAAGATTTCATGATTTCAGAAATGAGTATTATATTTATCTCTGATCCTTCTGAAATTTATTTTTTTCTTCACCTAATGCGGATAGTGTTACATATCAAGATAGGCGCTACCACGGTATGCATAAAATAGGTACAACACACTGTTGTCACTGTAAGTTCACACACACACAGAGATTATAAGATGTCAATCCGAACTAGTTAACTTATCAATACCACTAACAAGTACACTTCGATAGTAGCTGCGTTCCAATCTCAACTAATCAAACGCGATACAGTCATAATGTCCTCATCTGCACAACTTATACAGCTTTGAAGACTTTCCTAGGTTTCTACTGAATCCATTCCATGATGTAAACTAAAATTCAATTCAGTTATGAACATGATCTCTTGAAAGATTATAAAAAAACTTAATTTTTCCAGGAAAACATCTAAAGAAATAATTCCAATAAAAATATGCATATTGCACTTATTACTGGACATAACAGACGTTTTCTTCTGAAGATTCAGAAAACTTCACTAGATAATGTGAAAAAAATACTTGCGATAATTACAGGCACAAGAATCAATATTCATTACCCATTATGGAAGGATTCTCGGGAAGAGATCATAAAGTGTTGTAGACTAATAAAGATTTATGTGTTCTACTTTCTCTTAAACTTCCTATTTTCACATAGACTGTATAAATATTAATTATCAAACAAAGTTAGAAGTTTAGTTAATAACCGTGAAGTTGCATGACCTTTGTAAGTTTATTTTTACCTGTATAATTTTTCACAGCTTTTATCCATAAAATTTTAGCTATCTGTATCAACTAGCAACTTCTACAGTTGATATTCGTAGAGGTTTGATTGGGACAGATATTTAAAAGTCCATTCCAACTGGACTCATTAACAAATTTAGATAACATCAAAACTGTAGGTATCATTACCAAGGTTTGACTTGATAATTGCGAATAATTTGAGCATTGGGTAGATTGTTATAAACAAATTAGTATATTTGTAAGATCCCAATGAGTAGAAAAATAAGGTTTTCTGACGTTTCATGACTTAGTGTAAGCCAATTCTTCAGAGATAAGTAACAATATTAAAAGCAATCCAAGTTTAAATCGTACAACGAAACAATAAGAATATGTGATCAAAAGACAGGTCTGAACAAATTAATGTCATGTCATTTCGGTCAAAGTGGTTCATAAGTGACGTGTATGTAAATTTGTGTGTATGTATGTGTGTACTGTTTAAGGATGAAAAATTGTGTTACCTTTATAGTGAGAAAGGATAGAGTTTAATTTGTAAGATGATAGTGTGGATTGTAAATAAAATCAGACTGTGGCTAGGATAGATTGTCCAAGTAGGATGTATGTTAAGGCCTTCTTTTCTACTGAGAGATGTAGGTTTAAGTATTATATGGAACGCTTCAGCTACTCTCCTTTCTTTGTAATTGGAAAAGCCTTTTTGTAATATTTTGATATTTTTGAAATCGATTTGGTGGTCGTTAAAAATGGCGTGAACTGCTATGGCTGATTTAATTTGAAGTCTATCCAGTTCTACGGGATTACTAGGAGGTTTCTTTGTATACCTAATATGTTCTTTGGCACGAGTCAAGGTTTCGCGAGATGACTCTCCAATATAGAAGGCATCAAAATCGATGCAACCTAATTTGTAGACGCAGTTCTGTGTAGACAAGAAAGGGTTTTTTTCTTTTAAGCGAACTAAAGTATTTCGAAGTGTGTTCGCTGTTTTGTAATATACTTTAATTCTGTGTTGTTTTAAAATACTTTAGAGTTATGTTGTGCCATGACGGTATGGTAAAACTGCAGTACTAATCCATGGTATTTCATTCGAATTATTATTATTATTACGCACTGAAACATCTTGTTTTAAAATACTTCTAATAATCTTCATAGGGGAATTATTAACTTGTAAGATGATAATTACATTGTTTTGTTCTTTGTTTTTATTCTCTTCTGATGTGATGATCTTGTTAGCCCTTCTAAAAAGATTTAGGGCTAGCGAGATCTTGGCACTGAAAGGATGTGCTGAATTCCATTTAGATTTCTTTTCACTAAGTAATCTAAAAATGGTAGCTCACCATGTTCATTTCCATTCTCATTCGTGAATTTGATGTGAGATGAAAGAGTATTTATCCCTTTTGAAAAAGATCTTAGATGAGTCTTTTTTATCACAGCAAATGTATCGTCTACATATCCAAGCCAAATTCGTGGTTTAATGTCGTGGGTGAAAATATTTTGATTCTATGTGTGCCATTAAAATGTTGGCTACAATCAAGGACACAGGGGAACCCATTGCTACACCGTTAGTTTGTTTGTATAACATCCCGTTAAAAGTGAATAGAGTCGAATTTAAGCACTATGTCACGAAACGTCAGAAAATCTCATTTTTCTACTCATTGGGATATTACAAATCTATTATATTTATTTATAACATCAAAACTATTTACAGAATGCACAAATAATTGATAGTGTTTCTTTACTGTCTCATTTGATAATCTAATAGTTGAATTATATTCATTTATTTCTTAATGATGATCTCTTTCTTTACCTACTAATCTTCCATCTTTTTAAAGCACTTCTAGACATTCCAGTTTACAACAATCGGATACATTCATTACACTTATTATTTTCTTTATATTTGGAATTTAAAAATTCTCAAGTAAGTTAAAAGATTTTTAGAATTTTATTTGGTATTCAAAAATCCTCTGGTTATATCCTTCAATGGAGGAAATAATCTTAGAGAGGTAAAAAATCTAATGTAGATAAAAAAAGACCTCGGATTTGTACTGCTTTTTTTATAGCACTATAATCCCTAGTGTTATTATGCAACTACCTGAATTATAGTAAATGGAGTTTATAATCAACCTGCTAATGCTATTGAACCACTGCTCCAAATGATCAATTCTCTTGAATTCCCATTGGACTTGCAGCGGAAAGTGATATCAATGTTAGTCAATAAAATTAAGTATTTAGCTATATATATTCAAACAGAGAACTATGATTGGTAGATTTCAGTATATACATAATGTAACAATGACTGTCGCTTAGTGATGTCCATTTTTGTTTCGTAACATACATTGCGCAATCACCATTTCTAATGAAATGCGACTACTGTAAATAAAATACTCAAAATATTTGGTTTAAGGTGTACACCACATGTTACATGAGATAAAATTGTAATCAATTCAAAATGTTACTAATTAAGAAAGGTATACTTTGAGTTTTCTTCATTTAACATGATCATTTCATTAACTAAAACTATTTTCATTCACTGTTGTTTCTTGTTGTTGTTGACAGCATTTCCGTCAAAATGAATCCGTTATTACTTGATGTAATTACGAAATAGCAATGGTTATTACAGTTAAATATCTTTGTACCTGTGAATATATGAATATAATTTTTACGAATTGTTTTGCATTTTACTTTGGATAATTTCCTCTAAATTAGCACATAGTTTTAATTTAGTATCGGATATAACTGTATGATGTTTTATTCAACTACAAAGAAGTACATAAATATATATTCTAATTCAGTTTACTGGAACGATTGCAGTAAGTAAAATAAATTGTATATGTTGAACGCCAATTATAAGAAGTCATTATTTTAGTACGAGATAAACAATCAAATTAACTGTTTGAGGCAAGAATTTAAGTAAATTGACGCCATGCCAAATATCTTACGATTGACTACTGAATTGGAAAAGTGGAGATGGGCAATAACTACAATATCCAATATTTCTTAAAATAATTTTCCGTAACCATGAAAAACTATTTAGAAAACGCTTGTCACTAATCTATATAAGCATTCAGAGATAATATCCGGAGCGTCAAATATTCCAAATTCATAACTTTGTTTTTCTCCAATAAATTCAAGTATCTTGGAAACGCAGTAGAATGGATCACTGATAGATTGTTTCAAATGATTTCAAAACACTTGAAAATTTGGGCGTAGATTTAGTTAAAATGTAAACATAATAACTGAACGGTATAACAAAATATGAATGGACATATTAATTGGAGAGTAATTTCAGTTCAAAAATGAAACTATAGCATAATGCTATCAATGACACTTTAAAAAAGCAACCACATGTAAAATTCTACTCGAACAAATTTTTATGTGATACTATAGAGAAATTATCAGAATAAAAATAAAGCTGCCCAATTACTACTACTTGACAGCAATTTATTTATGTATCATTTTTGAGATGGTAACCATTATGAAGATGAGATCTGAAAGAGCTCACTACAGATTGTCAAACGGTGGAATTTTGTTAACAAGAAAGTAGTTCTTATGTAAATTGTGAACAATAATTCACTGCACTCTGTTTGGCTTAAAATGCATTAATTTAATCAAGAGATCTATGACAAATTAATCTTAAAGGTTGTTACTACTTTAAATTGACATTAACCAAGAAGTATTAGACTAGATCTTTAAAATATGTACGTAAGTATTTATAATCTTCATAGCTTGTATATCTGCTAAACGTTTTATGAGTAACATTGTTGATACAGTTAGTACATTTAAACATATGTTATTTAGATATTATTTCAGTCACTCAGACATCTACAAAGTAGGACCAGGTACGCATATGCATCGGTCCAAGTTGCCATACCTCATCAACACAGCAAGATGAACACCGAATTCATAGAAGTAGTTAATTCAATGGTGGTAATATATAATAAAAAGATTGTATATAAGGATAAGATACCTAGAGAAACAATCAGTTCGTAAAAAGGTATAAAGTAATTTTAATTTCACAGTTTAAATGAAGACAAAAAGTGTATACACCTATTCCATTGCGATCGATTCTGAGCCTTATCACCCAGTCTCCAACAACTAGTTACGATAGTTATGCGGCCCCCAACCAAGTAGTCTGCATCTACCAACATGGCTCAGACCAGAAGATAGTGACTTTATGAACTGATGCCACATTTTGTTTTGGCCCCCATAACTCTCCCATCCATCTACAACACTAATCAGCATTGCGCAGTACGGCAGTCGGAGGTTGGAGATGCGTAATACATGACTCAACCATCTCAGTCGATGAAGATTTACATCATCAACTGACTTACCATCATTCCCTAATACCCTGCGTCTAACCTCACAATTACGTACCCGGTGATCCCAGCAGATGCGAACAATATCTCTAAAACTTCTGTGATCAAATACTTGTATTTTACGAGTATCCTTTTATTATACAGAAACGATTATTTTCAAAATATTTGCAATTATTTTAAAAAATGAAGAAAAATCTGTGAATTAAATGAAATTTCGAATGTTAACATGACAATAAACATTCACTATTCCAAAAAAAGAATTCCCGAAGACCAAATAAAATTCGGATATTGACATCAAGTGAACTGTCTTATTCATTCTTTGTACAGAAATAAATAGTTTAGTCAAATATTGATAAATGTCTTTTCTTTCAATTTATCGAATTGCATAAGAAAATGTTACTTATTATCAAATCACGCATAGATATTATTATTATGATCCAGTAAACCTTTCAATAGGAAAGATAATATAATCAAAACTACAAGGTAACAAACAAAAAGAGAGCCAAAAAGTAATATTCAAATTGATCAATACTCCTTGAATCAACATTTCTTTATTTCTTCATCATCTTCATATTCTTTTAATTTTATAGCATAATCCAAAAATAATTCCGATAAATGTATAGCTAGTTCTGATATACCAGAAACATTTTCTAAATTAGTTAAAATAGCCACATTAATTGGCGGAATATTGGCTGCTTTTATTCGAACATCTACTGGATATATTTTATTCACTGGAGATATTATCACAGTGTTATTTTGTACAGATGAAATGAAATTATGATTATTATCCGTAGTAGAAAAAGTGTTTCCTTCATTTGTCTTATTAGGAATATTATCATTATTACATAACAAAGGGAGACTAAGAAGAAGAACAGTTGTACCACCCACTGCACCACCTGTATGCAATGCATATAATCGGTCAGGGTATCCATTTTCTTTGGTTGCTGGATCACCTGAACGTCTGGAAGAAGAAAAAAAGTCCACACACATAAAACGTATTAATAACAAGGAATAAAACATTTATAAGTCTTAGCCGTGTGTAGTGCTTTGAATGAGTGAATAAATATTTATCCATTAGATCATTTGTTTGAACTCTGACACAACCTTTCAAAATTTAAGTAGTCAATTAATTATATTACCTAGTGCACATAGTAAATACAAACTTATCGCAAAATATATTATGTTGAATGTATTTTTCTAATGGTGTTTTCACTTTATGTTGGATAGAATAGTGTTTAGACATGTTTATAGTTGGAATCTACACATACTACCGGTTTCGACGACTCCAATTTCATTGAAATTTTAATATTTATGTAAGGCGATCTCCTTAGTAGACTGAGTGTTTGGCATACAAATATGAATAGGTTGTTTTTCTATCAGTTCGATACAATTTAATACTTTTATGCTAGCAGATAATGAAATCTCATATCCTGGTTATAACATTATTCCATTCAAATAATAATAATAATCTATTGAGATGATAATATTTATCGCTTGCTTATCAGTTCTATTTCCTAACAAAGCAATTTTTTCCCTTTAAACCAGTTGAAATTTTGACAGATGACAATTCATAAGTGTAAAGTTAGAAAAGCATTTAACGATATACTGAACAGTTTATGTAAAACAAGAAAGTTCACTAGTCAAACAGATGAATTGTGCTTTTTATCAGTAGCGGAATGATGTATGGATGGATATTTACTAATACTTTATAAACACGAAATATTTTTAAAAGCCCCCGAATACATGGTACGGCTGACAGTGGGGAGAGTTAGCTCTCCCTTTCGAAGTGCTCTCACATGGCCACGCGTATAAAGCCACTGCCAGGGAAATGCTACTAACTGCCTTCTCGCGGTGGGGGTGTTGTCTAAGAAATTGAAAGTTAGAAAAGCGAATGTCCGTGACACTAACCAGGTTGCTGGACACGGAGAATCGGTCTGAGCACCCGTACAGTATCACAGCCCATACACAAATCAAGTGACTTGTATAGCGCATATGTATTCGGTGCCACTTTGTACCAACATTTATTTGTTCAAATAAATAAACAAATTTAAAAGCAAGTATATATTAGAAAAAAGAATCTTAAAGAATTCTAATAATTACATTCACATAACGATCTCAAAAGGAATTATACATATTGTGTCATTTAGTTTAATGTTGATGAATAATTTACCGGTTAAATATTTGACTATATTGAAAATCATTTTGATTACTTTACGTTTATTCAATTCTATTGTGAAATATTACCTTAGAATAAAATAATTTGTACACAAACATCATTTAAACAATACATAGACTTAAGAGAAATCACGAAATAAAAAATTGTTATGAAACTTACCTGGCTAAAAACCAACCCAGTCCAGGTAATGTACTTCGATCTGGTGGTACACAAGAAACTTTCCATAATAATTGATTCAAAGTAGACTGTTTAACAATTCCATATGATTCAAGCCAACCCATATAAATAAATGCTAGATGATCAGCTAAGCGAATTAGATCACTAGCTGTAGAAAGAATACCTCCACCACCCCATTTATATGAATTATCAATTGTGGGAGTGTTTGTAAGTATGCCTTTATCGGAACGACAATACTGGCTTGGAAAAGATAAAATAATTTCATTTAAAATAAAAATCGGTACAAGTTGATTATCGACTCACTTGTAATAAGTAGAATACAATGCTATCTGTGTAATTTTGTGGAAAAAATTATTTCAATCTGATGTGAATGCTAGATCCCCAGAAATCAGTTGGTAAACGTCTTATTTTTGTAACTTTATTTTGGAAATTTGAACGCCTCGTTTTCGCGCCAAAAGCGCTCATATTTACCCTCAGATTGTGTTTCCCGCTTGATAGATCTTTAAATGTCATTGGTTTGTTCCCTCTTTTCATACGCTATCATTTGGCATTCCCAAAGGATATTTTAATACTGTATATATACGCTTGAGTTGTGTGATTGGTTCGTTTATGTTTCTGACTGCTTGTGGAATATACCTTTCCCTCATCTGAACCTGATCTTCTCCCTCTGGTTAGCAGGGCTGGGACACATCAGGATAGTTTAGCTTGTCTTTTTTTTTGTGTTGCTGATCCTTCGTTCCATTCGCCTATTTTAGGTACTCTTGTAATCTCTTCAAACATAGCACAATAGCTATCCACATGCCTATTAAACGGATGTTGGACTGAAGTCCCTCAAGAGTTGTTGAACTTGGTAAAAACATTTAGCTTCTTATGAATAGTTCTGACTTGAAGATGTAGTATACATCAGTTCAGATATCTCGACAATGTTTCATGTAGTTGAATCTACTAAATACTTATGTATCACCGAAAGACTTAAATAGACAATAAAACTACTGGTTTCCGAGAAATTGCTGGAGTACATTAGCGCTTAGAAGGGTAAATTAACCCTTTTCTGAAAGTCGATTTTATAAATTTCTCCACACCGTGTTTGTTATGCATACTAATTTATTACTGACTTGTTTGTACCTAGCGCGCCATTTAGATGACACAGAGTGCTTCGAATAATAAAACCATACATATAGACAGTGAATATAACATTGCACGACGTTATTTTCCTAGGCTGCATTAATTCATCATTACTGATTACTGAGTCAACAAAATTATTTCATACCTTTATTGTAATTGATGTCATTATATCCACTCTATTTTTTTTAATATTGTTAACTATCACTTTTGTTTTACTAGTGAAAAGTATGGTAAACTGGATCGGAAGATTTGTGCCAAGGTTTATGCTTAGTTATCTGACTAGTTTCTGACCTCTGTCGATTATATCAAATTGACAAACATTACGTATCATATTACTTCACTTTATATAGATGGAAAAAGCATTTATCAAATCGCATTTATAAAAAGTAAACTAAAAAAACAGAACTTACGCAGCTCTTGAAGAAATTATCTTCTCAGGATACTCTAAACAGGTATTATTCAAATTGAGGTATTGAAAAAGTCTTAAAAGATTGGTATCAAATCTTGCCCATTTCGGTAAACTGTTTGTAGATTTTGCTTCGTTTTCACAAGATGACTTTGATTCACCTTTAACTGTTGCTAATGGTTGATCAAATAAACTACCTTTGTTTAAACAAATTTTTTCAATAACTGCTGATAATAAAGTGAATGCAAATGTACTATAGGTGTATTCAATACCAGGTTCATGAACTAATGTATCATTTTTAAACATATCACAAGCATTTAATGTATCGTTAAAACGAACAGTATTTAACATTTCTGGATACGCCTAAATATAATCAAATAACAATAAAAATAAATATTTGGATGAAAGTAGCACAAAAAATGCCTAACTATATGCGTGCTTGTTGTCTTCAAATCATTCCTCAGTTGGCCATTATTAAAAAAAATACATTCTTGGACCTCAAGTTGAAAGAAAAAGAACTAGATATATAAGGTGTTTATAATTTCTTGAGATACCTGTTATAATTTAAAAGCTCATTACCTACTTACAGGACATCGAATCATTTTAACATTTCATTGCGAGATTACTTGACAAAGCACTGAATTATTAGTTGATATTAACACTTTTTTAGCATCTAAGAGATTTGCTCTTAATATCATGCTCAAATATTTTAGAAATCCAGACACGTTTTTACTGCTTTTATTCATCAATCACACAAAAGACAAACTAGTTGCATGATAATTCTATTAATAAGTCTAATATGTCTAAACATGAAACCAAATAAAATACAATCACTCCTTTCATAAATAAAAATGAAGTGTTAAACTCTGACTTTGATAGACAGGAAAATATGTACAATAGTAAACACATGTGAGTATGTGAGTTTAAGACCAGTCAAAAACATTCAGAAATTGTATGTTTTATGAATGATTGTTCACTTGAGTTTGGACGTACAAGAATATTCTAAGGAATACTCCCAAAACACTAACATGTTTATATTAAAAGTAACAGTAATAAATTAACTCTTAAGGACAGATTTTTGGTCTCATTTGTCAAGTAACTGTCCTATACAATTAAAAAAAATGTTAAGCATCAGATTTTCATTTCAGTAAACAGTGAAGAATGTGAATAAATTCTATTAGTTCAAACTCAAGTATAAACTTCATACTGAAATAAAACTATTAATTATCAAAATCATTTTAATTAAGATAAATAACTTTAATTTCAATGGGTGAGATCATGAATCAGTTGAAGCTAGATCACCGTGGAAAACCTGGAAGCACTGGTGGTCTAGCTACAACCGACTCATGATGTCAAACATTGAAATTACTATAATACCCACAAAACTCCTTCTGAAATTAATTTAAAACGAGAATCATAGGATTTTGGTTTGTGAACACACATATTTGAAGTATTAAAACGTGGTCCCAATGAAAATATTTCTTGTACATAAATTGTAATTGTTAATATACTTACTGATTGTTTATTTTCATCTGAAATTTTTTTGTAACTACGAATACCACTGGTATGGTTGAGCAATGATCGAACAGTTATTTTTGCCTAATTTCAAAATGATAAAATAAACAAGTAATTAGATATTTTTCTTGACTCTTAAAAGTTTAACATATTAATTGTTAAAGAGTATATTTTTACCGCGCTAAACATATACAACGTAAATCTAGACTATGGAATTTCGGTTGAATGTATGAATACACCAGTTCCATTTTGGATGGCTTAACTGGCGACTGATCTGACTCTAATCGTTGTCTTTTTAAATTACGTCACAACACCTTTGAGGTACGTTCCATCAGTAAGAAAAAAAATGAAATCGACAACGATGGTTTGGTGAATACAGTATTTCAGGCAGCTTGCAAAGAAAGGTAGAGTAAGCAGACTTACACAACATACAGTCAAAAGAAAGCAAAAAGTATATACATGTTCAGTCAGAACGACAAACGAACATAGTGTAAATTGTTCACGAGTTCAATTAAGTAAACAATTGTATACAAATCAAAACTATAAAAAAGATTAAAAAACAAACAGTTTCCATAGTTTAACAACAATAACATATTAAGTTCTATGAAAAAGGTTCCAATATTTTTTTGTATACTACAACCTAATACTGTACGCATCTTTTAATACTATAAAGTTAATTTATTTGACATTTGACATTTCTGTCAAATCAAAAACCTTTTTCTATGCCTTAATATATTTATATTATTTTACATACATCTATACTACGAAATTCAGATGATGCTTTATTTATTCATATTTGTATTTCACAATGGGATTGCCCCCAAATGCCCTGGTACGGTCGAGAGTGGGGAGAGTCCGCTCTCCCTCTCGAAATGCTCTCACACGGCCACGCGTATACAGCTTCTGCCAGGGAAGTCCTACACACTGCCTTCTCGTGGCGGGGGTGTTATTTACGAAAATGAGAGGACGAAAAGCGAATGTCCGGCGCTTTAACCGGATCCCAAATCAATGGTGCACATGGGCTCCAGTATCCTGCGGGAACAAATGGCGTATGAACCAATTTTCGGTCACCGGCTACCATGGGACTGCATCTCCTTACGACGCTCCACTGCCTTGTGGGTTAGACCTTTAGGTCAAAGGCTCGGGGTGTGGCCCCATAACATAACCACCTGCTTCGGTCTGGGCACCCGGGCAGTATCACAGCCCACACACAAATGATGAACTGCCTATAATTATGGAAACTACTTTACTTGCTTCAACTAACAATCAAATGATTATTATTATTATTGTTATTATTTATCACATTATTCACCCTCTTTTATACTTATACAGCGGATCGTCTTTGGTGGAAATTCGACTGTATCTAAACGTTCTCGAGTCACTGTCCGGTTGAAAATTGTATGTTACTACTGAATATGAGTATTGAAGCAGTTTTTCAGAAACCACGTGCACTATTCAAACTGGCTGTCTTCAACGTTCGCACATTTATGCAGGTTGGACAACAGATAGGGCTGGCTATGTCTTTGGAAAGTCTTCATATCGATGTCTGCTGTCTATCCGAGACCCGTATTCAAGACTCTGGTGAAGTACTACAAATTCGACCTCCATCTGTCGCTTCAAAAAGCTGGTAGAAGTAGTCGAGAAGTTCGTGTATCTGGGTAGCTGCATAAGTGCTGGTGGGGGTGTGAGTGATGAGATCAGTGCATGTATAGTGAAAGCCAATGGGGCTTATGCCAATCTGGGCCACCTTTGGAGCCTTTATGATGTTAGTCTAGCTGTAAAAAGTCGGATCTACAACGCGTCGGTGAGAGCAGTTTTGCTCTATGCTTGTGAAACCTGGCCTCTCCGAGTTGAGGACGTTAGACGACTCTCTGTGTTCGATCATCGCTGTCTCCGAAGGATTGCTGACATTCAGTGGCAACACCATGTCAGTAATGCAGAGGTTCGGCATCGTGTGTTCGGGCACAGAGATGATAATTCAATTGGTGTCACCATCTTGAAACACCGACTTCGGTGGCTTGGACATGTTCTCCGAATGTCGTCCCAGAGAATTCCACGTCGTGCATTATTTGCCGACTCTGGGACTGGTTGGAAGAAGCGGAGAGGTGGTCAGTGCATGACATGGTGTCGTGGCATGAAAGAAAGCTGCAAAGGACTGGCTTGTGTCGGTCCTTCACGACTCCCTGGTTGGGGTCTGAGAGATGGTGCTACACAGTGGCTAGAGACGTTATCAGATATGGCTCAGAATAGAAGCCAGTGGCGATCCTGCTGTAACCTTCTTTTACTTTCTCCATAAAAGGTGGTTGTGTCTCCTTTGCCTGAAAGATTTCTTCTGATTGTACCTTTCCGTTCCCTCATTACTACCACGCTACCTTACACCAATCTCTTCGTTATTGTTCTCTTTTTCTTTTGCGCTTTTTAGTTTTTTTTTCTATTTCTCTTCGAATCCTCATTGTTTTGTGTGGCGCATATATATTGGCGCTCTCTTGTACCAATATTCATGTGTTCAAATAATAATAATAATAATAATAATAATAATAATGTTAAGTTTATCATATAGCTTATATTGAGCTGTTAGCTGAAAAAATACTTCTAGTAATTTTCGGTACAACTGTCTAGCCTAGATTTGTTCCATTCAAAGTAAATTAGATAGTTAGTCAGTAAAGTTTACTAAGGTGAAAAAATACTATCTTAAATACATTTTAGAAATTAAATTTAAAATAATGCCATGAGTGCACAGCAATACAGTTTAAGGAGTACCACGTTTGAGTGTATCATCCATATTATTTAATTTCGTCAGGTTTGATGAGTTTGCATTCTGAAACAAGGTTCGTTCAATAACAGGCTACTTGTGTTATCTGTTTATTTATCAAAAAATGGATAGACTTAGTAACAGTGCATTGTGTATTAATTACAGTTGTGGAAACTACTTAACAAAAGCAGAAGAAACACGTGTTTACCCATAGATGTAGAAAACCTATTACCGCGAGATAAAAATACGACCTGATTTAGGGTTTTAAGTAAGTACACATTTTGGAAAAGTTAAATGATGAAGTTGTAAAGCATTAATGATGGAGGTCTTTGAGATATATGTTATACATATCAAACAACAAAGCATCGGTATCATGCCAACTGGTTCGGGGGTAACTTTTCAAAGTGCTAACGCCAGCAATATATATAATCAATTCACAGATTTAAAGACTTTTTCTGAGTTGTGTATGGAGGTGTAGACAACTTGATTGAAATATTTAAAACAATAAAAAATGATGGTTGTGAATATCTAAAGGTTTAGTTCAAAATCCATCACAACAATTTGTATTTATCAATTCTACAGGTATTATTACGCTATATATATATATATATATATATATATATATATATATATATATATATATATATATCACTCTCTATGGCTTGTTTTTTACACAATAGATTTTCAATTATCATTTTCGTCCATCTTTATTACCTCAAATTGATAGAACTTCATTTCAGTGCTGTGAATTATAACACCTTGAATAAACGTATGTCTTCATACCATTTTCTAAATTGTACCTATTGCTTGTTAATTCTCCATCATCTAAGGTACATATAGACTAATATATGGAGGATTTACATGGTAAAGTTTAAAAAATATTTTGGTTACATTTAGATAGTCAAAATATTTAAGTTATATTTACGTACATAAGTTCCACTGACTGTTTTCTCCGGAAACTCAGGTAAATAGGATCGGATATCTTCGTCAAGATCTAACTTGTGTTGATCCAATAATCTTCCAACCAATAACGAAGTAAACGGCTTACTAATACTCGCTATTCGAAATACTGTATTTTCATTTACTGGTACCATATGCTCAACATTGGCATATCCAACACCTTCAAAAAAGTGTATAAACATTAGATTATCTGAAATCATATTTAAAATACGATTTCACAAAACAGTAATCGTATGTGATACTTCTTTATGATAACATTAACTAATAACTAACCTTCTTGATAAATAATCTTCCCTGCTAATGAAACACAGACAGACATACCAGGACAACCCACCTTTTCCTAAAGTACAAGATGTATAGAAGATTGTAAAGTTTAAGTTACCTTAAACCTGTACACCATTTTTTGTGCACGACAAATGTATTCTGTAATATGCGATGAATCCTGCTGATGATATTGATGTTGACGAAGCCTATATTTTTGTGATGATTCATCAAATGCCGATGATATTTGAGATGCTAAAGCTGTCAAAACCAGCCCACTACGAATTTTCATAATTGAACTTTTTTAAAAATTTTAAGCAACAATAGCTTTACAGACAGGGACCGAGTTCTAAGGGAAGTTAACTGTCAGCTTTTCTACAATGAAACCAAAAATAGGTTACTATCTTGAAGTAGAATTATTTCTAAAACTTCGACAATGTAATACACATCCTTTCTAGATGAAAATAACACCAATGAAAACTGATAAAACTTCCTGATGTAACCGAGGTTGCGCAGAATTCCCATTGGTCCATCAAGTTCCTTGGTATCTATGTGGTTGCGCCACAGGACTAGGCTTTGCTACTCAGGTTGTAAAAAGACTGTAAACCAAGGTAGAACTACCCTCTTGTATGATGCATTTTTAATTGTTGAATTTTGGTATTAATATGTCTTATCTTTTTTCTTCCATCTAGACCTGACCATTAAAGAGAGCACTCTCATAAAGTTAAGCAACTGAGGTAAAATCATCCATGTATGCAATTTCGCTTCTCACACAGAATCGAGAGTTACAGTAACTTTCTACCATAACACGTACTATCAGCAATTTTTTTAACAGGTTCAAAGAGAGATTGGATCTTTACAGTACTTCAAATGGGTTACTTGAACCCAAATATTTGCCTGTGAAAAATGGAATACTCGTATTTGATCATATACCAGAAGATATCAATGTCCAGGAAGTTTTCATAAGAATTTGCGTGACTGATAATTTGTTGATGATCACGGTCTAAGATACACTGTTTTGGAAAAAAGCCCATGGATATCGTATGAGATACCAGTTGACGACTTCCACTGGAATGAATAAAGTACTACCTAGTGTTAATCTGGTTCTTTATTCGGGGTCGTGAATTCTGGAGCTGATATAACGTGACTAGTCTCATTATCGTATTAACGGATTATAGTAGTATACCTGAAAGAAAAAACACAACCTTCCGCTATATCAGGAACGTCACTCTAGAATACCACTTTACCTAAACAAATGTAAAGCTCAGATGCTCAACTCAACATGTGAACTACATACTAACTACACAGAGATCGCTGTGAAGACTCGAGGCTGACATTGGCAGAACATATCTCTCTTATCATTTCAAAATATAGACGGGATACGACTCCACCATCGAAGACACAACTAGGTGTAAATATCTATCCTCGGAACCTTTATGAAGCCGTCAGCTAGTGAGCAACCTAATATCTTCTACAAAATAATACATAGCCTTTCCTTCTTAACTTCCCGCCCAATGATGATTCAGAACCCTCCTAGCAGACTTATAAACAACGTATATACTATAACTGTAAAACATCAAAAACCAGTAAATTGTAAGTTCTTTATAGTACGGTATATTTTAATTTGGAACAGACTCCTATTTCTTATCCCTCATTATGATACTATCACCAAGTTTAAATGACTAATCATCCTGTTTCTAGACTAGAAGGAGGGTTATCAACTATTTCTGGAACTCTCAGTTAATCTCGGGGCAATTTTTCATGAAACATATACTATCTAGCCACATGTCTTAGATAATTATTGGCCGCCCATGAATACATCAAACTTCCAATGACATTGATGTAAATACATAAATAATTACCAAAATGTATGTTTTTTTCTCTCACTAACCACAGCGGGTCACGTTCCTGTGCTCTTGGTCTAATCCCTTATATCAGATCCCAAGTCTTTATGATATTTGAGGTCAAATGATTATTTTTTTATGGAACTCCATAATCCTTCATAATTTTTGCCTGAAGCAGAGATAACTTGCTGAATCGATGAATGTTGTTTGAATACATATGATCACAGGAAACCCATACTACCCTGAAGTATTTTGGATCCCTCCTAGTTTATTTTCTAGCAATTTAGGAATCCCGGCGAGAATCTAATTTATGGACGACCTTTGAACGAATCTTAAGTGATCTTGAGAAAGATTAGCCAGTAAGCAAACAGTTAGTATAGAGTAAAAATGAGTTATACAAAACCGAGGAAAAAAAGTGGATACACTTCTTATACGTGGTTCAAAAACTTGTCAAGGTTAGAAAGAGGTTCAAAGGATCTAATTTCGTAATGCATGCAGTAGAGGAATTCATCCATATGGCTACAGAATAGTCGGCCTCTGGAGCCATGATGAAGTCTCAAAAACTCTTTTAGCCTCGACCACATAGCTTCAATATTGTTTATGTGCACTCCGGTTGTTGAGTGCACAAAATGCTACTTGTGAATAACGACACGATGCACATAACCGCTCAATTATCACGCTTTGTACAAAATCCCCTGTGAACCGATCGTACGTTAGTATAAAGCACTGAAGTTGGAGCTGTAACCTTGAAATCTCTAAAACGCTTCTGGTTGACTCGTCTATAAATTAGTCTCGCCGAAATTCCCATATCGCAAATTTATCGGCATAAAATGGTTTAACGTTTTCATACTTATCTATTTATTTAGGAACTTCATAACCTTATGTATTTGTTGAATATTCTTCGACCAACCACCTACTATTACGCTCTCTAAATAACTTATCAGCTTGTGAACGGAACCTCAGAATTTACCTTGCTGGTTAAGTCATAACAGTGTAGTGAAACATGAAGATATTTGGCCACAAATACGGAAGCTTTGGCAGCCTGATTTATTTGTATTATGGTCTTTGTAGAAATGATGTATTGCAACAAGATATACAATATAAAACTTAGTGCAGAAGAGCTATTGATTCATACCAAAACCACAGGAGAAACTGACATCAAAAAGGAAGAGGGTGGCGTTTCCGACTAGCACAAACGATGCTGAGAAGATGACCTTAATCTACTCATGTTAGTATGAAAAAGTATTTTATTTGCTTACAGTTCCTTAAGGTTCAGAGTGAGACAACTAACCGGTAATATTGATGTTGTTCTCCCATACTTACTACCTCGTAGATGGCTGCGAGACAGTAGATGACTTGATCTTAATTTTTGGTGTACAGTATACAATTTAAAGAAAGTAAAAGTGTTAATTCCCAGTCATTTGCTGTCAGTGGGCAAAGTTTTAGAAAAATCCACACTTTCAACCCGGTTCAGGAATAGAGTGACAAATGATGCATCGTCGCCTATATTCATACCGAATTTTCGAAAGGATTTACTCGAAAATTTCATAAAGGACTCTCTTACTTTCACTTCTCGTTTGCTTATGCATTAACACCGATCACGATTGACTTAACGTTGACAAAAATTAATCAATGTCAAACAGAAAGTAATATGTTAAATTTAACACACACATTTGAAAATGGATACATCTACCGCACTATTTCATTCTAGAGACAGTTGGGCATTTTAATTGCCTCATTTCCACTCGACACCTATCTGTTACGCACTACTCTTAAAGCGCGCTAATCTGACGGAATTTATGTAATATCTCAATTCCTGATATGTAAATTTAAGAAACACTACTTCAAATCATGCTTTGATCTACTTTTCACTCTGGACTTGAGTCTCTGGATCAGGCATATCAAATCAAACCTTGTTTTTATCTACCGGCTCATTACTCCCTGTATCTACCACTTCATACTCTATGATATCATCCCACAACCTATCCAATAAGGAAAATATTTTAGCGATTCTGACAATCTACACAAACTTATGCCAGAATGTTTTCATTATTCGCTATTCAACCATGTGTAACAGACTTCAAGTGAAAGTACAACCGGGTTCAGAAGTCTCCTTGATGATTTTCTTTCTGAAAGTGGATTGTGTCACCCATTGAATATCAGTGTGCTAAATAATGATTTACACAAACAAGGTCCGTTATTTATCTAATTGACGGAAAAGCAAAGTGGAACCTTTGAATCTTTTTACGTCTATTTTATTTTATTTTCTTTCTGATCATCTTAATATATAAAGTCTGACTATGTTCATATTTATAATTATTACTGCTATTAATATCATTATTGGTCCCTCGACACATAAGATATTCTTTTTTAGGGAGAACGCTAACTTCTGCGCCAGTAGCGACGAGGTAGAGAACGTTCGTTGTCACATCTGTGACGTATAACAGACGGCTATGTACGCCGGCTACGGTTACCGTTAACGCGTGCCGGCTTGGAAGCTTCCCGGATAGTTTTTCGTGTCTGTCAATTTTGAGTTGGGAAAATTACAGGGTTTTCTATGATTTCTGGAGGGCTTTCCATATTAGTTATGATACCAGAAGTAGTCGGGGATATCCGTCCCTCGTGGTATAGAGACAGATCGCCTACATGATGTGATTCTTTGAGGGGTATATGATCGTTTACGGGCATTATGAAGTCTGAGATAACGTGTAAGGGTATGACACAACAGAGCTAGGACATTCTGGATCGTTTGAGGCTTTTCTTTGACTAAAAAAAACCTCGACATCAGATTTCATAATTTCTAAGATGCGGTCGGCAGACACAGGCAGCTCGTCTAAGGCGTTGTTTTGAACCGAGACCAGCACAGCTTGCACCTGTCGAAAAAGCTTGGATAAAAAAAGTTGTATGAATAGGCCATCATCGAAGGTTCTTTGGCCGATAACCTCTCTCATTCTTTGTAACATGTCTGTTGCAGAACCGTGTTGCAGGTCGACCTTATTAAGGAGTTTGTCTAACCTTTGTCGATCAGTTGAGTCTCCGCGTTTAGGGATAGATTGTTTAAGTGCTTCATAGGGTTCAGAAACATCACTAGCAAACATGCTAGATGTTACGTACCTGCTGAATTCGCACGGTAGTGCCTTGACTACTGCGAAGAATTGTAAACGTATGTCATTCACGCCATGTTCGTGGAAGTCGGCTTCTGCGTAGCAGAACAAGGCTTCGATGTTGTTTGGCCAGAAGGGCATTAGTTGGAACGAAGGTTGGGACATGGTCTTTAACTTAAGTACTTTGGGTGTCTGTTCAGTCATAGTGAAATATCAAGTATGAGAATGAACGAGGAGAAAAATATCCAAAAATCGAAAGAAATCATAATATGAAAAAAATTAAAATGAGGCAATCATATATAAAATCCCAAAAAGGAACAGACTCACAATTTGCTGTGCCAGATCACATCGGGCTCACCAATGAAGATGCCACAGGTATTCAGTGTTTGACAACGCTTTAACTAGTAACACCTAATATAACTCGTAC